GGTGATAGATTTCGGTAGATATTGATAAAATTAGAGTCAAGGTTGCTTTATATACAATAGATTGTGTATAAATGCACCTATGGTCAGGGATCTTTTAGAAATATCACCGAGAGCCCAGCCAACAGTTGACAATATGGAAGAAGAAGACAATGAATCAGCATAATGTCCAGGGTAACCTTAATAACTGAGTGGTAAGGGCAGTTAAACTGAAATTAATAACTATCTCTCACATTTGACACCTGCAGTACCCCTGCCCAGTTCATAAGCGCCAACAGGTTTGTCAGTTTAATGAACTCCCCACAATCTCCAGGTCTTCCCATTTAAATTTCAAATTTCACCCCTTAAAAAAGAAAAAGAAAAGTCTGGGATCTGGGAATTATTTGGTTACCAGGTGAGGCACCTGTACAAGATAGGTGGTGGCAGTGAGGTCAACCAAGCCATAATCCTAGGGGTCAGAAGGGAAAGACCAGGTGTAAAGATTTAGAAGATTTCTGACAAAATAAATTTGAGGCTTCCCCCTTTCAAAGGTGATTTAAATCTGCAGGTGAATTTGTCTGTTAAAATTCAATTCAGTTGCTTTGTATAACTTGTAACACCTTTAATGTGATCTATCTCCTACTATTATCAGTATTTATTATACTGTATATGATTCCATACAGAAAGTTGGGGTTGATTTTAAGTTAAACGGAAGTCTAAAAAGACTTACTCCAAATAAAGAGTTAAAAATAGACTGCTGAATGTTGTTCATGTAGAACCTGCCAGATTCTGAAGATCTACAACCAAAAAAGTTTTCACCAGCCTTCACTAAATATATCCTATTTTAGCTTATATAGCCAATGGGAAATTCTGTAATTGCACATATTTATTACATTATTTTGGATATAAACACAGTGCTAGATTTCTACTTTTCCTCTTATGACTAACACATTATTTTTGTTTGCTCAGCTTGCTCATATCAATTAACTTCTGTAGATCTGTCACTTTTTAAAAAAAAAATCAGCAGTCTTATCTGTTTTTTCATTTAGCTTTCTTTTTAAAAATAATAGGATAGGATAATACGTCAGCTGGCACAGATGTCCTGATATTTTATCCATATAATCAGAAATGTTCATGTACTGATTTCCAGTTGCCTTGTCACTTGCATTTGTTCTTTTATGTTCTGTTTTATGAGACACAGCTTTGACTTTTTTCATGCTGGGGATGAACTCAATGGTGTTATTATAAAAGTAAATCTGAAAACAGAAATTATTCATTTTAATTCATCCTTAATATTTTTGCACACTCCTTTATCATCTAATAAATGGGTTCTAAACTTCATTTTCTTTTCTTTTTTTTTTTGTACTTTTTGGAAATCTCATTGCTATTTGAGATATGGTATTCTGCACAAAACTGAATCTGGAAGGAATTCTTTAGAAAAAACATTCTTAAACAAATATTTTTACAGAGCTTATATCTCTCAAATGTCTTTTATTCCCCTTTCGATACACATTCAGTAAAGTTTTACAGCTCCAATAATTTTTTTCTGTACTTTGCTTAGCTTCATGCTTTTAAAGATATTAGCAATCTCCTTTCTAGCAATGTTCAAAAGTACCACTACGTGCTTCACGTTTGTTACCTTCTGTTTCAGGAATCAGCAGCTTTAACTGAGACTTCTAACTCCTTGGAAATGTTTAAATGTGTCATCTATTCCTCAGATTCCTTTGCTTATTTCGCTGCTATTTTTGCTGAGAAGCTCCAATATTTCTTAACCTTTGAAAGTAGTATGATGTAGTAAATAGTCCAGATTGCATTTATTATTATGCTGCATGGGACTTTTTCACAAAATGAAAAAAAAAAATCCTCTCAATCCCCATTAACAAAGCAACATTTGCTTAAAAATATTAAGCAGACAGAATCTCCACCACCAATGATTGCATATAATCCAAAATGACCTCTTGCCTTCATCGGTTTTAGTTGCTGGTAATAGTTCAGCTTGGTTTCTGGCCCTGCTTTTAGCATCCGCTGTAACAGATTTCTTTATTTGGGACTTCCAATGCTCATCCTGCTTGAGGCCCATTAGCTGGACCAGATAGGATGGCTGCTGGCAAGGAAGGCCTGCCCTCCCCTACTCTGCAGGCTATGTTTTGTCCTCTTTTCACCTCTGCTTGCATGTGAGCTGAGTTCAACTCACCACGTTTCTTTCCAGGCAATTCATGACCAGATGAATCAGATATTAAGGAAACTGTTATGTAAAGAAGCCTTTGGTTTAAAAGGAACTGGCGGCCCTATGAACAGCAATACGTGTTGTGGAAAAAAAAAAAAACAAAGAAAAAAGAGATGGGTGGGGGCCTAATAACTGTCCAAATAAATAAATAAATAAATATATTTAAAAATACTTCTCCAAACTGGCCAGCATGGCCATATATAACATATATGATTTTGTTGTACGAGGTGCAATGACAATAAAGTAAACTAAACTAATAAGGAAAGCTGAAAAACAATCACAAAACACTTACTGCCCTTGCCACAAGAGGGTAACTTATTTATTAAGAGAAAACCAGTAAATTGTGAGCTCATCTGGCTAGAAATTGTGAATTATACAAATGACTAGTTGTTTCATAGTAACCACTTAGCAGAGCTATGCTCCTACTATAAAAAGTGTTTGCTGATATTTTAATTTAATATGCATATTTCATTTACATACACTATGCCCCTTAAAAAATTGCTTATTTTTCTTCCCAAGGCCAAGTTGCGGTCTGATGTGTAAGTTTTCCAATGGCAGTTCCAATAACAGGTGAATAACCAGTTGTTATTATATTATTTGCATCTTGTAGCCATATTTATGTTTCATACATTTTTTATTTATTCAGTCAACACAGAATGAAATACATAGCTTAACTTTGCAAGGCAGATAACTGATATGGCCAGTTTATGATATTCATGGAATGTTTTGAGTTTAACAATGAAAAAATAGAGCAAAGAACAGTTTTTCACATGCAAAATGGCATTTTCTGTACAAAAATATGAATTTTATTACAGGATAACTTGGGATCTAAATTATACAATTAAAGATATGGTATTAACTATTCCACTGAGTAAAGAAGAAATGTTGTCATATGAAGTATCTTTATTACAAGTTAGTTAACAAATGCTAATTATGGAACATACATAAAATAATTAAAATTCCTATGGGTAGTGTATATTTTTAACAACTTTAAAACAAACACAGTCATTATTTTACAAAGCACATAAAAAAGTACTTCATATACAAAGAAAAGTACATGAATGTGCAAACACCATTTTTTTCACAAGTGGTAATTTATCAGCTGAAAATGCTAGAAAAATCCTTCATTTATTTAAGTTTGGAAATCCAAATATATTTAAAAAAGAAATATTTCCTATTTTTTGTAGTGTGAAATCTGCATTCACTCTTCATTAGAAAAATAGGGAAAATACTGGTTTTTTAAAAAAGGTAAACAATTCCAGAAACTGAAATCCTACAAGTGAAATCAGTTTGTTTTGTCAATACTGGCCTGATTTGCAGGTAATGCTAAACCATGGTTTAATATTAGGAGGAGGAACTACTGAGAGCTTTGGGCCCTTGGGCTCCCCTTTTCTTTTTCTTCTCTGTTATATGTAAGAGAAGCACACTAACAGTTCTTGATTTAGTTTTGAGAAATCATAATTTAAGGTTCATAATAATAAATTGTGGTTAATTTGAACTCTGGTTAGTAAAAAAATAAGCTGTTTGAAAAACTAATGGCTTGTTATAACCAACTTTAGTGAAGATTAAATCACTGTCCGATTTGACTCTTAGAATGGAATTTCATATGAAAGCTTCCAAGGGAAGGGATTCATTCATCAGTCCAAGGTTTGCAGTGAGATGTCCTTATTCCATTAAACTTTGACTTAGCATTACATGTGAACTCAGACATTAACTTACAAGTGACATCACTAAACCCTAGAAAATGCTGGCTAGTATAAACAAACATTGAATTATTAATTTTAACATATTTACTTTTCAAAGAAAACATATTCTCTTTCTAGGGTTGTTACACTCAAAAGTCACTATGTGTTGCAGCAAGAAAAACGTTTATTTATTTTGGTTTGTAAAAAAATTGTCAGAGTTTTTTAAGATGAACAAACACATTGGCAAATGTTAAAAAATCTAAAAACATTCTTCCAATTTATGTGCAAAAACATGTAAAGTATCAAATTACATCACATCAAGCCAATTTATGTACATATCATTATTTTAAATTGTTGTTATCTTGCTAGCATTTTGCTATAAATAATTTACTTCTCTCCTTCAAAATGCCTGTTTTCAAAGACTTCAGTGCAAGTGTTTGTTTCGTTTAGTGCATTTTTTTTCTTTTTACAATGAGCAGAACAGCACACAAGTTAATATACAACGTTTGTATTTAGCATTCCCTCTTCCTGAGGCCTGATCTTGGTTTCCATTCATCTATAAAGATGAATTAACTAGTAGAAAAATGGCAAGTTATTTCTCAAGGCAGACTGTTCGGAGAGCCAGTGGCAGAAAAGAAACCATTTCTTTTAATTTATGGTGCCTTGAGTGTGCCTTTTTATTGGTCTCCAGGGTTTAAAGGTTTAAATAAACTCTTTCTCAGAAAACACTGCTAGTCTGAATATGAATCCCTTTTTCTAAAATAGGAAACTAAGAAGATTAAAGATAAATAAAGGAATATTTAAAAAAAAAACAAGTGTTCTGCTGGATTATTCATTCCTGTGTCTAGAAAAAAGTTATCCTGCTGGGATCACTTAGCCTGGAATTGTATTGAAGATTAGGCTTTCTGGACAATGAGGTTAGTTAGTGTCTTCCAAATGGAGAACAAGGCAATATATAAATTATGAACTAATTATAAAATTTCTTTTAATTATAAAAGAAATATGATGTTCTGAGCACTGTGGCTGAAATATAAGGCTGTTCGAACTGCAATAAACAATTCTTCTAGGAAGTAGTTACTCAGGCATATCAACAGTTATTTTTTTAAATGATGATAATGAGAGCAAAAATAAATTCCTTATTATGCATCTGAAATGCAACTCTGTATCCGGTCCATCCACTGGTAGGCACTCTGTGCATCTTGCGCACAAAAATTATATACTCGTTTACTTGTCTTTAGCTGCACAATTAAAATTAAAAGATAAAAGCAGTATTAATTTTAGAACATACTTGATTTCCATACTTCATGCATCCTATTGTCATTACAGCCTTTGCAGCAGCAGCATTGCTCTCTACTCTGTTCTCTACCATTTGGAACAGAGAATCATGTCTACAAATGCATGGGAAGTTTGCAATGAGAAGCTGCAAACAAATCAAGATTTTCTACTATATTAGTAGTCCTCAATTTATGACCGGTTGCTTAGCAGCCATTGAAAGTTACAATAGCCTCCCAAGGGCTACTTATGATTCAGATTTGAAGTTCTGAGCCCCCTCCCCACATTTATAGTTAGTTGCAGTACCCCATAATCACAGGATCTCAATTTACAACTTATTTTTTTTGTCAGAAATCAGCATTTAATTCCGGTTTCTGGCAAAAACGTCCATTGTGAACGATGGATATACTTATGGACACTGCAAAAAAAAAAAGGTCATAAAACTGGGTATGGTCATACCGAGATCCGCTTAACTATCAGAATAACTTGCAGCCATAATTTCAGGCTCAGTTACGGTTGTAAGGCAACTGTAGTTCATTGAAACCATCAGATATTTCCCCCTACTTTTCTCAGAAAATAAGTGTATCTAATAAACAGACTCATCTGCTGCAAAAAGAGAATTCTCTCTTCAAGTAGCTTTAAATGCTGAGACAATTTGGTTCCTTGGAAATTGCTATCCTTTCCTGTACAACAGGAAAGGTAGTAGTCTTGTAGTCTAATATGTGTTACCTAGACCATACAACCTAGGGATTAGCTACCAACTATGGTAAACGAAATTTCACAACTAAAGAAAGTCAGGGGGAGAAATTAAATATTTTATTTCCAATATATTGTTTCCATCCCATCTTTTCCTTAACAGCTGCTTAATTCTAAAGTTGTGCTTAGCAATCCTTTTATCTGCCTTTTGACTGTTCAAGAGCTCCCATATCTAATATGTGTTAAACATTCTTTTTTTTCTTCATCTAGTAGTCCATCCAATATCAAGCATTATTCTTCACAGTTTTCTGTAATAGATCCATTTCACAAATTTTGGCCTATCAATTTGGGTAATCCTGTAACCCCTATAAATGGCTGGTCATAAGTTATGAAAAAAAAGGAAGTATGGAGTCTTTGGCGCTTGGTGGTTTTTGTGCAGAGGTTTCATTACCTAACTGGGTAATATCTTCAGTGCTAGAAGGGAATGGAGTTTGCTCTCTGTTAAATATAATAGCTCATAACACAAAATAGGAAAAAGATAACATGCCATGCATCAAAAAGATCTCTGAAAAACTAATGAACTATTTATAACCAAATGACATCAACATAATAGCCAAATCAACTGAAATAATAGCCAAATCAACTGAAGCCCTACAAAACATTTTAAGTAAACCAAAAATCTAGCCCAAGAAGAAAAAGTAAGAGTCATCTACAACATAGAGTGTAAGTATTGCAATTGCCACTGTATAGAACAGACAGGCAGAAGACAAGCAAAGTGCATCCATAAACACCAACTAGGAGTCAGAAGACATGATGAAATTTCACAACAAATGAACAGACTTAAGCATAGTTTCAACTGGGAAACTTTGAACATCTTAGATCACACTACATCCAAAAATGCTAGGGAATTACTTGAAGCATGGCATTCAGGCAAATTATCCACCAACAGGCACATAGATGAATCACATTTACACATCAAGAGATAATAAAAAGCTAAAAAAGAAAATATCAGATTCCATGCCATCATTCTACACCCAGATAAGCAGGAATTAACACCAGGAGCAAAACCAAACCATCAATCAGTCAACAACAGCCTAATCAACCAAGGGGAAAACAACATCATCACCAACTTGGTGGCCAAGACAAGCAATTGTGATATATAAACAGAGAGTAAGTCCACTCCTTTCTAGCACTGAAGGTGTTACCTAGGCAGGTAATGGAATGTCTGCATGAAAACAACCACAGAGAGTACCAAGGCCTGCACCGTTCAATCCCGAGCCATGATATTCTCTTCCATTGGTAGAAACGGAGTACTGGCTAAATATGTCTATTTCTCTATGTCCTTATTTGAGAAAAATTCTGCACAGATTCTATTGCTAGCGTCTAATGCATGCTGGCTGGAGAATTTTTGGAGTTGAAGCCAACACATCAACGAAGTTGCCAAGGTTGAGAAAAACTGGCCTAGTGAATTAAGAGCAGGGCTAAACTTTGTGGCATAGCACCTGCTTTGCTTTGATCAATCCCAGGTTAAATCTGTAGTCAATTTGGCAAGGGCTGAGAGACATCAATCTAAAACTGCAAAACTGCTGTCAGTCCACACAGACGGCAGTGAACCAGATGGACAAAGATGTGATTTGATTTTGAAAGACAGCTTCCAAAACTCCTATTCTAAAACACGGGAACCTATCTTTCACAAATCAAATGACATTAAAAGAGGTGTTACTTAAAATATGTAGCACCACATATATAAGGACAATGGAGAGGTTGTGTTACACTGGTGTACTCTCTATGTGCAAATTACAATCACATCTGATACTGCAGCTTACCCCCACTCCCAGAAGAATTCTTGCAAATGTCCACTGTAGTTAAATCTGGCTGAGAAAAACTAGGGAGTTGTATCTCTGCACAGATTATGAGTACATTTTTTTGTTATTAATTTAAAGCAGATGGTAGTTTGGAGCCAATCTACTTACATCAAAGAAAGCTTTTTCATTAGCATGTTTTGGAGCACCAATAGTTGGTGAAGCAGGGATTACACTTTCTACTTCTGCAAGCTCAATATGGCCCTTACAACAAGCATCTTCCATGGAATCATAATATCTTAGCTAGAATGAAAAGAAACAGTAAATGTTAAAGAAAGCAACCAGTCTAGTAATATGAAAAGTCTGCTACTGTTATACTGAACATCTAAATAACCATAATCTCAAATGAAATGTTGTGGACAGTTTTTAATTTCCTAAAATTGAATAAAATTAATGTTCAAAAATAGCATTTCATTATTAATGCTTAATGTTAATGTAAAAGTTTCGCAATTAAATTTGCAAGCAAGTAGCACCTTTTTCACGTGGTAGTTTGAGGGAAAAAAAAACAGCATACACTTGCTCTCAAGCGTAATTTGAAGCACTTTCTCACAATAATTTTTGAAGCATGCACAAATCCATAGTACCTACTTCATGATCTGAAATATTTAAAAGCAAGTTTGATTTAAAGCTCAACGTGGTCTTGAAAGTTGATGGTAAGAAAATGATGTAAAAATATAATGAAATAATAATATACATTTAAATAAACAAAGAAAAGAAACAACATTGGTGGGGGGCTTCTACTTGCTCTCTTGAAAGAGGGGAGAGCTCCCAGATTGCACACATATATTACAGACCATTATTACACTTTACCTGGTGTTTTGTAACATCTAGCACAAACCAACGTGGTTTCCAACCTTTAAGCAAAGCTCCTCTTTTGTAAAGGGTACCTTCAAAAGATCTAGAAGAAAAAGAAATATTATTTATTATTTTAAGCAACAGGACTCAAGAAAAATATCCACATAGTAACAATGTTTATTAATTCAGTTCAATTCATAGGACAGAACTTAAATCAATTAGAACAAAATGCCCAAGTGAAATTTCCTATTAATTCATATGAAAGTATGAACATGATTTCATAGCTATAGGTTTTAATTTAGTTCATTTATTATAATGGTGTGCAAAATGTTAGCAGCTTGAAATATTACCAGCTTGAAATATTTCAAGACTCTTGAGCAGGATGTGTAAAATGTTTTGATGTTGTGTGAATCTGTTTAAAAAAAACAACAACACTCCTTCATTATGGAGGTTTGATGAGTGCATGAGCCAACAGGCCCAGGCTGACATTGGCTGGAGCTATTTTTGGCATAATAATTCTCAGAAAGTTTTCTTAACTGATAAATGTGAATTTACTCCTTATTTCAGACAAATAATATGGGATCTAGACCAAAGGTTTCAGATTCTTCTCAGTGTGAATATGATTAAGACTGATTTAACACTTAAGATTCAATTAAATTTTTAGAGCCCTTCTTTTGCTTATCACATCATATTGTTTTAAATACATCTGTGGAACACTGAATATTTTTTTGAACAGTGATGTCCTGTGACACTTTATTTGTTAATTAACTTGACTTTATGTATCCTCAGAATTTTTAGCCAACATAGTCAAAAGCCAATCCATCTGGAGGGCACTATTTTCCACTGTAACACATTTGTCTTATAAATAACTAGATTAAAAGTAATTTTAATGAAGGATGTTTTGTGAGTCATTTGAAACAGAATGAAAATAAAGCAAATATAACAATTTTGCAAATGTTTTGCAAATGTTTTAAGGAAGCCAGACTTTTATCATAGTCTGATAGCTCAGATTACCTATTTTCATCATGTTTGGGTGTGAATTGATTGTACAGTGTTGTTACTCTCCTTTCCACACCATTGGAAGATGAAATATTGCTGTTTCGTTCTTCACCCAAGCCACTGTCTGGCAGATGCAATATAGACCTCTTTTGACAAGAGTTCAGGTTGACAGACATTGCTGAAGAGCCAGAAGGATGTCTCCGGTGCTTTAAAAGGTAATGTGACATGGTGTGAGGTTGAAAAAAAATCATGGGTTAGCCAAAAATCCAAACAGAGATACTTTACCTCTTTTTCAGTGACTGCTTAAATCTCCTAACCTTGTGACAGAAATCCAATGGTTGAACAAAACACTTCAGATAAATAAATTGCTATACTCTATTTCTTGCAATAGCTGGCACATAAACTTTCTAATAAAAAGATACTTGAATGGATCTATAAAAATAGTTTAGAACTTATTCAGTGTTTGTGGCAAATGCATTTTTGGTTGTAAATTTCTCATTTCTAGTAATTACTGTAGCTTTGATTAGCTAGAACATTGCAATGTGATTCATACAAGTGCTAAAATATCAAAGTATCTTTGCTATATACTGTGTTTCTATTAGTAGTAGAAGAAAAAAGGAAAAAGAAGAAAAAAAAAGGAAGGACCCAACAGATCTGAAGAAGAGAATACAGGCTGGGGATTAGAGATGTAGGTCTAATTATGAATGAAACGTTTATGTCAAAAAGTATGAATTTGTGATTTATTTAAGCTGTTGGGAATGCATATGAAATTAGGAAGTCATATGTTGGTGCTAGCTGCATGTTGTGTTCCAATGAATGGTGCTAGTGGAAAAACCAGGGATGAGTTTTCGGAAAATGTGTGCATTTTTGCAACATTCTGAGCGAGTACAAGACATTTTTATATCTGCTTACCAAATATCTTTTTTCTGATTTAAGCAGAAATTAATGCTTACATATTGAAAGGTAATGCATCAAAAAGCATGACTGATTTGATTGTTTAAGATGAACAAATAAAAGATTTAGTAAAGGATGCATGAGTTATGTAATGCGGGACAGATCATAATTTGGTTACAGTATGTCAAGAGTGGAACCTGGAAAAAATGCTTGAAATAGAATGAAAAGAATTAGGTTACAAGAAATAGGGAATTATGCTAGAAACTTGAAAAAGATTGCTGGAAAGAATAATGACATGAAAGAGGTTGTGAGTGAGGAAAAGAGCAAGTAAGACAATAATTACAGCAAAAATAAAAGATTGTGTGTATTGGGGGAAAATCTAGCTGCAAAGAATGTGGAAGAAAATGTTAAAATTAAGAGAAAGATAGAAAATGGAGAGCTGTTTCGATGGGATTTTGTTTTGGACATAGGTGAAGTGGGCTAAACAAGGAACTCCCTGCAAATAAATGGACTTTAAACAAAAAGGTGTAGTTACTTGAGATGAAATTGAAATAAGGTAAGGTGGAAGGAGTATTTTAGAGATTTATATTTAATGATACATCAAAAGTGGAAATGAAATAAGCACAATCAATATTAATGTTCAAGAAAAAAATTATAGTATAATTGAATGAGCATGGCTAGCCTGTATGAGTTATTTATCCCATACCTAGGAAACTGGATAAATTAAAGGTCAAGAAGAAAAAGATCTGCACAGGGATGGTGATTGAAATGCAAGAATAATAATTTATATTGGGTTCCTTTGCATTTATAGAATATATTCTTAGTCATAATAACTAATAATTGCACAGTGGCAGATAGGACAGCACTCCAGAGGGTTAAAATCATTGTCCAGAAGATCATTGGGTGCCCTCTCCCCTCCCCATTGCCTTAAGAAAGTTCAAAACATTCTTAAAGATCCATCTTATCCTGGGCACCCTTTTTTTGAACTATTACCATCTAACACACAGTACAGAATAATAAAAACAAGGACAAACAGGCTGAAAAACAGCTTCTATCCCAGGGCAGTAGCTCTGTTGAATTCTACTATATAGTGTAGTGTTGATGTGGTGTTGGGGTTTTCAACTCAATGTGTGGAGTGTGAAGGATGTGTGTTTGTGTTTTTTTTCATGGTTATGATGTGCACTGAAGATGGTGTTTGATTTCGTTGTACGAGGTGCAATGACAATAAAGTAAACTAAACTAATAACTAGAAGATAACTAACAATCTGAACTGGTATCTCCACACGTCGTCCTAGTGAAGCGTGCAAACCAGAGTCTGCATTTCCTGCATTGGATGAGAAGAGCACATCTTTCTCCTTCTGTCCTAGCCATTTTTTACAGAGGCACGATTGAGAGCATTTTAACAAACTGCATCACTGTTTGGTTTGGTGGTAGCAGTGCCTCAGATAAAAAGTCTATACAGAGAGTGGTAAGAACAGCCAAGAAGATTATAGGAAGCTCGCTTCCTGTTATTCAGGATACTGCTTATAAGTACTATGTGCTTACAGCTCAAAGCATTGTTAGAGACCCCACATACCCACTTCACAGTCTGTTTCTGTTGCTCCTCTCTGGGAGGAGGTTTCGAAGTATTTCTATCAGGACTACCTGATTCTGATTCTATGCCATCTGTTTGGTAAACTCATAGGATTCTTTTTTCTCACCATGTACATGTATACATCCAAACTAGACTGTGTTGTCTTGTCTCTCTGTGTCATATATGTGGGTATATGCGTAATTTTGTATTTATTTTGTTATGTTTATGTAGTGTATATTGGAGGTGCCGACCCTTTGAGAGGTGTATGCAATGAAATTTCATTTTAATGTATGCCAACTAGTGTACATTCAAAGTGACAATAATTCTATGTTCTTCTAAGTTCTAAGTTCATAATGTTTTGGAATTAGACTTATGCAAGTGGAAAAATTGTTCATGAATTTTTCCTCCATGTTTCTTTTTGTTGTAGCCCTCCATACTCTTCAGGCAGTGCTACTTATCCTTTCTCACAGCAAACATCCTTGCATTACTCCAAAGGTCCTCACGGTGTGTATTGAAGGGAGACATTGAAGCCACTGACAATTGTATAAATCTAGGTCAAAACCATGTTTCATGGTTTAATCTGGATTTATTGCATCAACAACTAACTATATATATATATCATTCAGTTTTTAGAAAACTGAAAACATTCTTAAATAATTAAGATGGACACTGTTGGGAGTGGAATGTAGTACCAAGGTCAGGTGCATTATCTGACAGTAATAAATCATTATCCCATTTCAGCATGAAATGTGAATCCAGTGACAGAGATGTACTTAAATATGTTAAGAATTTAAAATGTATACACTGCCATATTCAATAATTTGATAGTGCTACATATACGTGGAATTTTGAGACAACTATTTTTAGCCCTTGATGAAAGTTTGAATAGTCTTGTCAAAATACTTACATTGTCTTTCCCTGAATCTTCTTTCACATTTATTTTGACTCTTTCCCACAGTGACTGCCATTTTTCTGGGCTGTGGTTTAATTTGTTCTCCAGTCTTTCAATTTCCTAAAAATATTTGAAATGTTTTTTTCTTGTTTTCAATAAGCTTCCATAAGATTAAATCTTTCTGCTGTTCCTTTAAACACATGAGCTGCAACCTCTTGCTACAGTTGAAAATGATGATAAGGACTGGAAGTGTTTTTAAAAATACTTCTTACACAGTTCACGTTCAATGCTGTGACCACATGATTTTACATTGCCAAGATTAACATTTATCACTTTTTTTAAAAAAAGAAAGAAACAGTACTAAATTATAATAAAAAAGGAAATGTGACGGACTTATTGAATGTGTTTGCCAAACTGTAATTTTTATCTACTTTTAAAATGGGAATTTGAATTCCCTTACTGCCTCTTATTAGAGCTTTTTCCTATGAATAAGCTATAAATGAAATAAACTGAAAAAGAAAATAAGACAGAAACATTTTCTCTCTCAAATGCTCAGGTAGTATGCTTCTGCATACTATCATACTGCATACGTCTGCATTATCAATCATTCTTCAGCAATATCGGCATTCTTCAATCCCTCAGAATTTGTTACAGATATGCAGTAATCTTAATTTACAAATATCATTAGATTATTATGGATCTACTAGACCGGAACTACAAAAAATCCAACACTAACTTGCCCAAATTGTTTTCTGCCATCTATTGATCCTCTGGATTTTGGCAGCTTAGATTTGATAGCCCTAATTATTTAAGAATCAGGAGAACAGTGTTTTTCATTTCATGTTTCTATCCTACAGCAGCGGTGGCAAACCCTTTTCAGCTCCCATGCCGATAATTGCACGCGCGCTCGTACTCGCCAGCACCGAGAAGGCAATGTGTGCTGCCCCCCCAACCCCCTGTGCATGCGCGCGCGATTTCCCCTGCAGCGCATATGCGCATGTATGCTGTGCGCCTGTGCACGATCCCCTTGCCGTTCGCTGTGCACCTGCACATGCGACCCCCTTGCTGCGTGCTGCACATACACGCGCAATCAACCCCCCACACGCTGTGCGTCTCTATGCATGCGATCACTCTCACGCACCATCCATCTGTGCATGCGTGCGCGATCCCTCCACTTGCTATGTGATTGTGTACATGCGTATGTGTCTGCTGTGCACCCCTGCCTCCGCGCACTCCCGCGCATGCATGCCAGGTACCTGACAATCAGCTGTCAGGCGGTGGCAGCGTGCGCGCATGTACAGTGTGGCTCTTCCAGGCAAGCTCTTGCATGCTGGGGGAAATGGCTCTGCGTGCCACTTCTGGCACACGTACCATAGGTTCGCCATCATGGTCCTACAGCCTGATATAAAGGCAAAACTCCAAGTCTTCAGTTAATCCTTAAGGAGTCCTAAATGTGATCAGCTGTGTTATTACTATATTTGCTACAAATTATTGACCCGATTTTAAGATTTTAAGGAATTATCAAGTCAATATTGTGTTAAGCTCCCGGATATTTTTTCCAGGATGATCTGCGTTCAACCTGTTTTTCAAAGTTTCTTAACGTGCATCTATCACTGCTGTAATTAAGACTATCTGCCTTGGTGCTGGTCATCTTTTATTCCACCTTTCCCAGCATGACACATTCTCACGAGAGGTAGAACATTGCATAATATATCCAATATATGATAATTTGAGCCTGGTCATTCATGATTTGTTTGCTTTCTTAGCTATTCATAGATTTCTTGAGAGTCTTCTCCCACACCAATAGGTTTTCTATTCTGCTTCTTCAAGCCCAACTTTTCTTTCCAAAGAGTGTTTATGGGGAAAGCCACTGACTCATAATTCTGTTCTTTGTAGACAGATAGACAGATCACAATATCTGAATATCTTTTCCAAAGCCTTTATGCTACGAAAGCAGCATTGCTCTGTTTAAGTCTAGCCTGTTTTGTATATACATTATCATGTCATACCATATGAATGCCAAAAGTGATGGGGCTGCTTTCATCATTTTAACAAAAGCAGGAAGCTTCTGTGGATGCCAAGAAAAACTCCAAGTCACAAAATAGCAGAATAAGTATTTCACAATTAATCAAAAGATGTTCCAGCAAGTTCTTGAATAATGCACATACTAAGTATTATTTATGGTGGAAAGAAAATGGCAAGTTTTATCATGGCATAATAATGATGGCGTATTTTACCAGAAAAATCTATACAGAAAACAGATTTAGTCAGCTTAATTCAGAAAAAAATGGCATTCCTTTTGGGGGCAATCTTGTATTTAATGAAACCATTACCTTTAAAACTGAATAAGGTGGTAGGCAATAAAAACAAGACTTCATCAATTACAGTATCAGTATTTAATATGGATATATAGACAGAGAATATATGTACATATACTGTAGTATATTATGAGATTTAGGTAATGGTCAATAAAGTAAAGGCAGCATTTCCTTATGAAAGTTTTAAAATTACTTTAAAAAATGACTTTTTCCCTTCCTCTACATTTTCTTATCTAGTATTTTTTTCTTTTTATAAAAATAGATGAAGCTACATGAATATATTAAATGGTTATACTTACATTAAATAAGTTGGTGAAGGCATCAGGTTGCACTTTAGCAAAGTTATCATAGCATGGCCAGACAATTTTTCTCTTATTGTGGGAAGGTGTCGTATCCATCTGATCTGTTTCATCCAAGGTACTACATTTTGCACTTATCATAGTCCAGTCATAACTTGGGCCTGTGGCTAAAGTCTCTTCTGTGTAATAATCCCATTTCTTAAGGCAGGAAATGCTGACATTTGGTTTTAATACCTGTATTAAAAAGAACCCTTGTAGATTATGAATGTGATTTGATCCCTCTTTCCTAATGATATGCCCTTGGCTCAAACCATTTTCCTCAACTTAAATGCAGATAAACATTTAATCCATTTTAATAGTAGGAAGCAATTCTATCCTTTTTTCAGTTTCCTCCTGTGGTTAATTAGGTAAATTGTTTCCCAATTCAGTTCTAACCCTGGGAATCACCCCTACTTTCCTCCTTTAAATTCTGTGTGACCAGAGCATATCAAGTTCTCCATAAATTGGCATGATTCTGGCATTGCTCAACTTACGGTATTCCTGTGAAATTATGCAACAGGACATGGTGTGAGTTCCATATTAAAATAATTATGAAACTTATGAGTTCAGAAATATTATTAATATTTCTGCATACATTTCTGCATTATTAATAATTTGTAAAAAAAAATCTAGCTTTGCAAATATTTTGGTCCCTTGCAATCAAGTAATATAAAATATGTGGGACAATCATTGCCTTTATTTCAAAGTATGCCAACATTCAGCAACACCCATCCTAATAATTTTAGCATCAAGAGCTTTAGATTACAATAGGCACCACCACCTAAAACTGTGTATCACAGATAGCTCTGTTAAATGCTTAGCTAGTTTTATATGATGTTACCTCAGTAAACTACAGTCATGTATAATATATAACTATTACACAGACATATTTGGGCATATTCTTTGAACTAAAAATTGGAGACAAGTAGATATTCATAGTAAGTGATAAAAAAAAACCTTGAAGGGAAGAAAACTCATATGTAGTTTCCCCCAAACCAAACTAGCCAATCCTGTTAGGCCATAGACATACAATTAACAATCTGTCTTTGTGAACCAAGGGTACTTTGCAACATTTGGGCTTACTCTTAAAAAAATGTATTTGCTTTCATAATATAATTTTGGTCCAGTGATAAGACTATCACAGCAACTACTTATCAACAAAATTGCTAATATCTGTCTCACAACATCCTTAAAATAGCAATAAGCCTCATAAAAATGCACACTAACCAGATTCATTGGCTATAGTCTTTCGATCCCTTCATCTGAAAAACTACCGTCTAGACAGCATGGTAATCATTCTGAAAACTGGACAATTAACCCATTCAATAAATGTTAATTACACTAATAGTAAGCTGTATTTATTAAGTATTACAACTAAAAAGACTGAACATATCGGCTGTATACCTCCGTTTCAACTGGTGTGTAGAGATAATTGAAGAAAACTGGACTTCTTTTGTGTATCTTGTCAATGCAGTCCCAAATGCAAACTCCCCTTTTGCCATGTTTTTCTCCTTTATCTTCAAATAATGTTCCTTAAAATGATAAAATGTAATGTAATAGAAGGACACAACCTTAGATTTGGATGGCATGGATAGTTGTGGTACAATATTTAAGTTAAATGTGCCACATTGAGAATGTGGAATATATAGACAAATCCAGAATGTGCCTGAAAATATATTTATGGCTCTCAGCACAAGAAGCATTTTGTAAGTGACAAATAGTAAGCAAACACAAATGGCTAACTTATTATGAGATACTAGAATTTAGTCAAGGAGAATGCAAACTAAAATTAAGAGAACTAGTGGCAAAAATATTTAGTAGAAGATATACAGGGAACTTAGGAAGGGTTAAAAAAAGCAAAATCATTGAAATCATTACAAGAGTTCCGAGTTTTAAAATCAAAACAGAATATAATTCAATTTATTGAGTGGTCAAGTAACCATGTGCAACCAAAGTGGTAAAATCAAATCAAAATAAGTTAGAGAAATGGCAGAATGAAAGTTACAAGCTCTGCTGTCCTCCCCAGAAATTATACTGGGATAGATTTTAATTAGATATTTGGTTCCAATGTAATATTTTTATAAAGTGTTCCAATGACTTTTATGCTATTTTATTGAAGAAGAAAAAAAATCATAAAATAACATTTTAAATATTTAGGACTAATTTTTCCTATATGAATATTTGCTCTTTTAGTCAATTAAACTTAAATGTACAAATCCCTTCTATGTATACTTAGAAATGCTTAACCAATTATCTATGAAATGGATGGGAACATTTTAGATTTTTACTATCTAATAGTGGTACTAGCTGCATTTTTATAGATTAAGCTTAATTAAGCATGATTTGACTCAGACATCCATCTATAAAAATGCAAGAGCAAAGAATAAAAATATATTGTTAAAGATATTTATTTTTAAGAATGGGTATTTCATTAACTATAAGTTGCTTATGATTTGACAATGAAAAATACATATGTAGTATATGTATACCTATTCTGTTTTCAAACTACACTTCCCAAAATGATGGCAATTTCCAAAATTACCTTTGACTAAGAGAGAGAGAAAATACATTGGGAACATGGCTAGTTTGCACTTGAAACTATTTCCAAGAGGAGACTCCTCCCCCAATGCCCAATCAGGTCTTGGCAATACATGCCAGGTCAGCTCTTTGTTCCATGATGAGATCTTGGATGGGGATAGTCTTGTCTCTTACCCTAACCTGTAAGAGGCAATAGCCCGAGCCCAGGATCACCAAGGATCTATGACCAAGTCCAGGGGGCTTCTTCTTTACTTCTCTTGTACTGCTTCAGGTGTCAAAGGATGCCCAGAAGGTTGGAAGCAGGGGTGGGATCCGACAGGGTTAACTACCGGTTCAGTGATTTACGAGGTTCGGTGATTTACGATGTGCTTCCCTGCACGCTGCGTGCGCACGCCTGTAGATCGTCATTAGCACGCTGCGTGCAGAGAAGCAGCCTTTGAAACAGCCTCTTTTCCTGCTTTTTTAACTGCAGCTGTGCCTTGCACAGCAGCTGAAGTTGAAAAATCAGGAAATAAAGGTCAGGTAAGAGCCCAGGTGGGCAAAAACATCAGCATACATAGAACCGGTTCTATGTTTGCTGCTCTTCAGAGTTACCAGTTCTACGGGGGTGGACAGAAACGGTAGAAACCCACCCCTGGTTGGAAGGTGGGATGGGTATAAACTTGGAGTGTATCTTCTCCAATACAGACCTGCTTCCTACACCCATCACATATTCCTCTGCCCATCACCACAGAAATTCTACTGCATGACCTTTGCCCCACACAAACTACTCCCCCAAACCCTGCCATTTTCTAACCAGGCCCATGGATGTCAATTACTCTCAGTATAGCTAATCTGTCAGAACTTGAATATACTTCAACTCCAGTTATGACAATTAATCAGTAGAGTTAGAACAACTTGCCTCCAGTTGTGAATGCTCCAACACTGGAAGTTTTAAAGAAGAGATTGGACATCCATTAGTCTGAAATGGTAAAGGCTCTCCTGCCTAACCAGGGGGTTGGACTAGAAGACCTCCAAGGTTCCTTCGAACTCTATTATTCTCTGATTATTTAATACAAAGCAGATGCCAGTAATATTGTTTCAACCCATTTCCGATGAAAAGCTTTAAACATAATAAAAATAACAAAATAGCAGCCAAATTAACACTGGTCAACTTGGGATCCATACCGTGTTCCAGTCTTTCATAATCTGAGTCCAGCAGGAATGTTTTAAATCGATTGGAAACATAATGAAATGCTAAGAACTTCAAGTAATACTGATTGAATTCAAACTCTGTTGGATACTGGTTGTGAATCTGAAATTCATACAAATAAAAACAATGGTCATAACAGTGGTGAGATTCAAATTTTTTAAACTACCGGTTCTGTGGGTGTGGCTTTGTGGGCATGGCGTGGCTAGGTGGGTGTGGTGTGGCTAGGTGGGCGTGGCAGGGAAAGGATACTGTAAAATCTCCATTCCCACCCACTCCAGGGGAAGGACACTCTAAAATCCCCATTCCCTCCCCACTCCATTAATCTGCTTTCCATCTCCGTTCTCCTGTGCAGGGCAACAAAAGAAGACCCAGCTCATCAGCTGAGACTTGGGAGACAGAGAATAGATGTGGGCGGAGCCAGTCAGAGGTGGTATTTGCCAGTTCTCCAAACTACTCAAAATGTCCACTACCAGTTCTCCAGAACCTGCTGAATACCACCTCTGGGTCATAATTTATTACCAAGGACAAAGTCAGCAAATTATATTATTTCATCTTTTTTTTAGGTCTTAGGTATCTTTTTTTAACAGCAAGATTAAAATAGAGGTGTTTTATGTTTTCCACATAGAGATAGTAGGGGGTACAGATAGACTTTTCTGTGGCCTTTCCCATGGATATCTATTTTGTTACTCACTCCTGCATTGCTTTATAAAGATGTCAAGATTAAATCCTTTCACAGAGCTGTTGCCAGTTTGTGTTGCCGGGGTTGGATGAAATTAACACTAATCTTTGATTTATTTTCATTTCATTTTATGATTATACAGATGTATTGTGATTCAATTTCTTATTTTATAATTTTTATTTGGTGCTTTATACTTATTACATTGTAAACCTGCTATGAGGCACATAGATTTAGTGACATCTAAGCTGTGTAAATAAATAAATAGATATTAACATCCTCGACAGAATAGTCTTTATGCCTTTAAATCAATTCAGAAAAATATAGGCACTGAGTTTTTGCATAACAGATAACTTACACATAATTTCATCTCTATTAGTGAAAAAGCAATCAGAAGAGTTTCTAAAGCCAAGGAAAGATTTGCATGGTGAAAGAGGGTTACTGAAATATCCTGGTCCACAGAATCATAAACAAGTAGTAACTAATGAAATTGAAACTAGTGTATCCTCCCTCCCTCTCTCTAGTAGAATTTTCTCTGCAATAGAACATACATTTCCTTGGCTCTACACAGAACAATGCTATATTCACTTATAAGAGAGTTCATTTGGCAAAGATCAGTGGGATTCAATTTTTTTTACTACCGGTTCTGTGGGCATGGCTTGGTGGTCATGGCAGGGGAAGGATACTGTAAAATCTCCAGTCAGAAGTGGTATTTGCCAGTTCTCCGAACTACTCAAAATTTCTGCTACCGGTTCTCCAGAACTGGTCAGAACCTACTGAATACCACCTCTGAGTCAGATCAAGATTAAGTGTTCAGAAAGGGATGATGTTATCTACAAAATGATTCCAATATGCTCCCCCAATAAAGAAAAAGGTAGCAGAATTCTGGTCTGCTTGTAGATAGATTAGCAATATGGTCTCTGCACTTCTTTTAACTATTAGAACAGACTGTAGATTATACAAAAATTCTGTGGTTAGTGGTGATGCAAACATAATGGGAAAAACAAAATTTAGTAACATTCTTTGAGCTGTACCAGTTTTCCTACCTTACCTACAAAATATACACATAGTGGATAAAATAATAGTTATAACCTATATTCTCTATTTTGATGTTTGGAAAGTGAAAGGGAGAACAGTTGAAGAAATAGTGTCTATTTTTATAATGATTTTATGCAAATAGTTTTATTCCCACAAGATTAAGCAATCACTAGAACTTTAGGAGAAAGTGAGAGAAGCATCATTTGTAATAGGACATTATTGTCACCAAAGTTATCTTCCTAGAAACAACTGGATGATTTACCAGATGTTGCTATTGTGAAATAACGATTCACATTAATAATTCACTTGACACCTGGAGATATTGGCATAAACAATGGCTATTTAAAAGATGATGCATTTCTAATTTAAGCATCATAACTTCCCATGTACTCTCTAGGCGAAATAAGGACAATTCCTTTTCAACCACATGAAAAGATTCATTTGTTAAATCTTCAGTTATTGCCCTTAGTTGTTTGAATGTAGAACTCTTATGAATTTGTATTGCATATCTAAAATTAGTCAAATCTAAAATTAGATTTCCAAATATATATTTTTACAACTTCAAGCACATGAAGAAATAAAGAATATTTGTTCCAAAAAATAACATTCTATAGAAGTATGACTTGCAGAGCAAAAACCTTTTATTTCAGCATAATTGTGGAAGTTGATAAGATTAGAAAATACCTTCAGAGAAAATAACTTCATATATGCAATATAGACTTTTCATATTCTAGATCTAAGCTGCAATAGATCGCTATTGCTATTGTGTCAATGAACTGACTTATAAAGCACCTGCGTGGCCCACGTTAGAAATATATTGAACTGACTAATCCAACAGTCATTTTTCTTTGTGTTGACATGAAATATTTTTTTAAACACCAATGAGATGTACATGAATTCATAAAACTTACACTGATGTTATCTAGTCTTGCTGCATCAAACTACTCTTCCAGATTTGTGACTCAGTGAAATGTTTGATGGAGAGGGAGGGATTTAAATTGCTTGAAAATGATATGGAGAAGATAAAACAGATTACCTTCTCCCAACCGTTCTATAAGCCAAAACTTTGGATGAGGATGTGTCCACTTGCTAAGGAATACAAGATGGGGAAAATATATAGTGGTTATAACTTCATTTTCATGACTGCTGAAATCAATTAAAAGGTAAAAGTTTCCCCTGTCCAATTGTGTCCGAATCTAGGGACCAGTGCTTGATAACTTAAATCAACAACTGGCAGATGACCTGAATGTACGTTTGAGAGGAAACCACTGTCAACTATTGCTACCCTCTCCATCTCAAATTCACCAACAACAGCTAAGTCTGCCAAAAACTGACTCCATCCCTCTGGGTCCCCCACCACTAGTGACCACAGAAAAAGATGTGCGAGGTCTATTTCACAGAAAAAAGCCCAGAAAAGCACCAGGCCCAGAAAAGGTAACCTATTCTTGCTTGAATGTTTGTGCTGACCAATTGACCCCCTCTTCACCCGTATCTTTAATAAATCACTAGAGACATGTTATATTCCTTCTTGCTTCAAACATTCTACTATCATCCCAGTGCCTAAGAAACCTTTCATCAATTACTATCAACCAGTTGCTCTGACATCGTAATTATGAAAACCTTTGAAAGGCTAATGCTGGCCCACCTGAAAACCATCATAGATCCACTGTTAGACCCCTTGCAATTAGGCTACTAAGCAAATAGATCAGCAGATGATGCTGTTACTATAGCATTGTACTACATATTACATCATCTTGAATCTCCAAGGGCCTATGCAAGGGTCCTGTTTGTAGACATCAGATCAGCATTCAATACCATCATTCCAATTATTTTTCTCACTAAACTGATTCAGCTAGCTATGCCTGACCATACTTGTAAATGGATCATCGGCTTTCTAACAGATAGGAAGCAGCAGGTGAAGCTAGGCAAAATCACATCAGATACCTGGGCTGTGTGTTCTCTCCACTTCTCTTCTCTCTCTATACTAACCACTGATCTCAAATGATCTCTCTGTTAAATTACTAAAGTTTGCAGATGATACAACAGTGATTGGTCTTATTCAAGACAACGAATCTGCATACAGGTGGGAAGTTGAACAACTGGCTCTTTGATGTAGCCAGAACAATCCTGAACTGAACACAATCAAAACTGTACAGATGATAGTAGATTTTTTAGGATAAGCCCTCCTATTCTATCACTTCTTACGATACTAGACAGCATAGTATCAACAGTAGGGATCTTCAAGTTTCTAAGTTCTATAATATCTCAGAACTTAAAATGGATGCCTAACACCTCAAATGTCATTAGAAACCAACAAAGAATGTCCTTCCTGCGCCAACTCAGAAAGTTCAGATTGCCCAAGGAGCTGCTGATACAGTGCTACAAAGGAATTATTGAATCTGTCATTTGCACATCTATAATTGTCTGGTTTGGCACAGCAAACCACAAGAGAGGTACAGATTTCAACAGATAGTTAGGACTGCAGAAAATATTAATTGCAACCAGATGCCTTCCATTGAGGACCTGTATACTACACAAGTCAAAAAAAAAAAGGGCTGTGAAAATATCTACAGACCCCTCACATCCTGGACATAAACTGTTTCAACTTTTTCCCTTAAGATAACTCTACAGGGCATTGCAAGCCAAATAACCAGAAACAAATATCCCCCGCTCCCAACCCATGCTATCGCTCTGCTCAACAACTAATTCTTACAATGCAGTCTTATACCCTGGGATATCAAACTACCTATTAGGGCTGTATTAGTATTACTATTATCCTTCTCATCTTTCTTAATACCTATTTCCTTAGCTTTTTATGACTATAACTTTGTTGTTTGTATCTCATGATTTATGTTGATTGCTTTTATTTAGTATTCTATTATGATTTATACTGATTTAGTATCCGATGACTATCACTAAATTATCTTATGCTTTTTGATTATTGTATTTTATGATCACAATTTATTGCTTGTTGCTTGTATGTACACTGAGAGTTTATCCACCGGACACAAATTCCTTGTGTGTCCAGTTACACTTAACCAATAAAGAATAAAGAGATCTATTCTATTCTCTGTTTCTTAGCCGAGGGAGCCAGTATTATCCAAAGACATTTCTATGGTCAGGTGGTTAGCATGACTATACACTGACCCACACGGAATTTCTTCTGTTCAATAATGTCTGATTCTTGGAGATTACTTGACAAGTTTCTGCAGTTTTTTGGGCAAAAATTTTCAGAAGTGCTTTGCCAATACCTTCTTCTTAAAACTGAGAGAATGTGACTTGGTGCTCTCTGAGTTTGGTGGTTTTCTTGCAGATATTTCATTACCAAACTATGCAATATCATCAGTGCTAGTGCTAGAACCCACAGTTCAACCTTGAGCTACAAATATTCTCTTCTAATGGTAGAAAGTAACTAACTGAAGGTTACCCAGTTGGCTTTGTACCTAAGGTGGAACTACAACACGTGAGCTCCCTGTTCCTAGTCTTATGCCTTAACCGCTACACCAAAGAGGCTCTCAATTTCTGTATTATAAACAATTACAATACAGGTTATGATTTTTATAAACAAATAAATTAATATCCATTATGTACATAAATGTGCTCATTTGTCTAGGCTTACCTGGTGCACACAATCCAAGAACTGCAGAAAAATGGGTGCAAATCCGCTTCCTTGACAATTAAGAGTTAAGTTACTGCGCTGGCTGAACTTATGACCAAAAGATAACCATTCCTTCTCTATTAGCATTCGGAATCCTTCAAGTGTTCGATAGAATGGATCACTGAGTAATTGCACAAGAGACACCACCTAGGCCACAAAATGATACTGTATGTTATTGGATGCTTTATATCACACACCCAAACACACGTTTTATTTTCACCTACCATTAGGATAAGACTTTTCTGTTTAGATATGAACAGAACTATCCACTTTCTGGATAATGGAACTACTCAACAGCAGTGCATTATTTATAGTGTATAATTAATTAACCTGCTACAACATGAGGATTAAATCCAATAGATGCCGTAAGCATACCCCAAAACTCTCACGCCATGAGAAATGTGATAACACCTTCAGATCAAACCTTTAAACTGTAGTCAGTTACCATGCCAAAAAATATATGTTTTTTAACAATGCACATTATGGCACATAAGAACAATTACAAAAAGTCTGACTGAAGTTGAGTATGGTAATGAAAGAGTTAAGGACCTGGTAGCTACAGAAAAATCTTTTGTGGTGCCCTCTTTCTCTTTTGTGTTCTCAACACATGCTTCTTTTGCTTAATGGTTAATCCACAGCTGAATTAAACATAGACAGAAATGGAAATATTAAGCATCGGACTTAGGCAATAAAATCAGATAGCTGACTTTTAATGATGCTAAGATGTTATTGAAATTTGGAAACTTTCAATTTAAAGATGAAACCAATTTTAAACTTGTATTTGAAAATAGTTCAATCATGTTAATTTTATTTGTTTGTTCCACAGGATAATTTCTTACCTCCAGTTTTTCATCAGAAAGTCATCTTTAATAGAAATATATGTGAAGAATATTTGAAGATAAGAAGGTATGAGAGAGAGAGACTGCTTTTTTCTGGGCCTTATTACATCCTATTTAAAAAAGCTGTGGAAATTGTACTTTGGTTTGTGAAAAGGAGCAATGAATTTTAGAGATGAAACTAAAATTTTCTAGAAAAGTGTTCATAGGACATTCTTTTGAATGATAGGGTTTTAAATGAAACACATTTCTTTTTCTTTTGTGTATTCTCAGAATGGTTTCAGGATATAATTGAACTTTAAGTATATATATTTTTGATCAAGCTAACCCTCTCCCACTAGAGGGGACTGGTTCCTTTTGCTAATGGAAAGTTTTTCTCTGCAGCAGCAAAAGGACTTTTTATTAACTTCCCCTTCATATTAAAACGCCCTATCCAAATATACTCAAATCTCTTTCACTTTGCCTGCTATACATGCGGGCCATAATAACTAACCTGCACTGTGATGTCCCAGCCATCTTCCAGACAAACTAAAACTGAAGAACCATTTTCAAGTAGCTCTGATATGACAACACCCAACTGTATTATTCTGTGAAGCTATATAAATCATAAAGGAAACAGGTTACTGAAATGAATGATAGTTTATACAATGACTAATAAAGTCTGTTTTATTAAAACTATAGAAAATATTAGATACTTAGTTTGAACCAAGTCTTATTGAACTAATAGATTACAAAGTTTAAAAACAAAACAAAACAAAATGAAGAATTAAGTACAGTGAGACCCCCCCCCCCCATTTGTACCCATATCTGGGTAAAATATGAATTAGTAGGCCTCATGACTACAGAGGGAACATCTTTTTTTCCTATTAAATGAAAATGCTTACAGAGCACTAAATAATATGGGTACCCTAGCACTGATCCATAAAGAAGTTTTATGGATCAAATGCTTTAGTTAAAGTTTGCCTAAAGACTGCAGATTTAATGGAAACATTTATATTGTTTTTTTCTAATAATAATATACAAAAGGCTGATCAATGCTTTCTTTCAGAATTTTTTTAATCTTAGAAATTTAGTTTTACAACTTCAATTTTCTGATGGTCTTCCATTTAAGTATTAACCAGATTTTGTACTTCTTAACTTTTCTGAGAGCATTCAGAAGTAGCCAGGTGCTGTTCTCTTTTGATATATAATTCATTCATAAATGTTTCAAGTCCAGTTGGCTGTCAAACTATATTGTAGCATGTTACATGTTTACAAAAGCTTCTACAGTTACAGAACTTCACATAATTATATAGATTCTAGGGATTAAATTGCACAATACAATTCATCACATTGTCAAAATCGCCTTTAAGAAATAAATAACTAATTATCTAAATAATACTTGTAATCTATACTGGATATCAAACCACCTTAAAGTATTTAGATACAAATCATTATCAAGAAAGAAACTCTATTTAGTTTCAATACACCTGTGCCATAACCCTGACTTAGCCAATAATATAGTGATGAGACATTTACCATGGGATAATCTTTGATAATAGTTTCTTAAACTGAATTTCTTTTGTTAAAAACAATAGAAAATGGAAATTGACTTCAAGAGAAGATTTAAATTATTATAGCCAAATGCAACATTTTTATGGCTGATTGTGATTAAGTGATTCAGTGGTTAAATCCATTTTGGCATTATATAATTCACTGAAGGATGTTTATTTGTCTCCATAGAAATACAGATTTTATTTAATGCAGAAAAAATGATGAAATAATTTTTTTTACAGAATCAAAATAGCCTTGGTTTTTCCTCAGAAATCACAAGCATTTATGACTGCCCCATATCACTTTACCTGAGGGAACCATTCAGACTCTCCAAGAGCTTTAAGGAATGTTATTTCAGAATCTGCTGGAATATTGCTAGGAACACAAGCACTCATGAGTCTTTTAAAACTAGTTTTCACTTGCCGGATGTCACTGAATTCAACTGGAACAAATTCACAATTTAAAGCAAAATCAAGTTTGAAGCCCTGTGGACAAAGAACTCATTTATTTATGCTATTCATGTTAAATGTACACTTAAATTATTTATTAAGGGATTTAGTTTTCCATTTTTTGGAAGAACTTAGGATTTTTTTTCTGAGACCTGAAATGACATGGTATTAATAGGTATAGTATATATCTTACATAACATTCTTTGTATTTGTTTTTGTCTGCAAAGCTCAAATGACTTCATGATCTACAACTCTCTTTTTGGTCTATTTTGCTGTAATATTATGACATTACATTTTTAAAAACTATTATGCAGATCCTTGTACCAAAATTACAGAATCAGTGTAAAGCAGACTGCGGCTTTTCTCTCTCCTGGAATCTAATTAGAATAATATGAAAAATGGTAATGAAAAGTCCATATTTTTGGACTTTCACTTTTTATGATAGCCTAGGAGAGGAGTTTCGGATACTAGGAGAAAAGATTATAGCTGATGTTACTGAATATAAAAGTGCAATTTAGATTTAAGGGGTTCTGAATTCCTCAGTTTATGTGACTTTGTTGGGACACCACTATAAATGTTTTCCCAAAGGTGTTTTTTTGAAAAGGCAACTGGATTTTCTGGTTTTTCTTTGAAGATGTTTTATTTCTTATCCAAGAAGCTTCTTCAGCGCTGACTGGATGGTGGGGAATGGAAGGATTTATACTGCTTGCAGACAGCTGGTCATTTGCATACTTTTAGCAAGTCATTAAGGCCACCTGGATGTTTATCTGTCTCATGAAGTTCACCTGAGCATTGCAAATGGGTGTGGAATCTTCTTGGAACTGTTGAAAGGACTGGGCTATAGACCAGAGGTAGATGATATTGTATCCCTCCCCCTCTGTTGAGAGAGGCCTATTCAATGTTGACATAAATGGCCTCTTTGACCCCTCTTTCAAAACTGTGGTCATCTCTGTACAAAATGTGGACTTTGCTATCTTCAAAAGAGTGGTCTCTGTCTTTTAAATACAGATGGACTGCTGAAACTAGCCCTGATAGGTTTGTTCTCCTATGTCATGTCATGCGTTTATGAAGTGGTTGTTTCCCCCCCCCCCCCCAATGTACATATCTGCACATGGCTCACTACATTGTGCTGCATATACCACGTTGCTCAGTTTGTGTCTGGGTGTTTTATCCTTGGGGTGGACAAACTTCTGGCTTAGTGTATTCTTGGTTTATTGTTCTCACAGCAACGTTGTCATTCCATACTTTGAGGAATATTGGAAAAGCTCAGGAGGATCTTCAGCCAACACAACAAAGGTGCACAGTTCCAAACCAAGAATACACGAAGGCAGAAGTTTGTATCCAAATCTGTTGATTGGCTGAAAACCAACCTGTGCTTTAAAATCACCACTGGATTTCAATTTTAAAAAGTTTTAAGGCATTTGCTGCTGTTATACATTTGACTATATTTTACTTGGCTTAATTAACATTGATTTAAATTTGAGGTGCTTTTAAAATTTGGTATTGAATCTACCATTTTGTGTCATAAGCTTCCTTATGAAAATCATGGTCCTGAAATGCTATTATGAAATATGTTAAATGAATAAATACATCACTGAACAAGAATAAGTAAAAATAATTATATTCATATTTTCCAGTCATGTGTAAAAATGGTATTTGTTTAGTTAGGTCTGCCCAAATATGGGTGAACACTCAACTCAACATCCATCTCACTGAAAATAATGGACTGTGACAAATAGCCTTTAATTTTAATAGAGTAAAATTACTTAATTAAAACTACTAATGAAATTACATTGTTAGGCTCCAGGTATCAAGTTCAACACATCGTTCTCAGTGGTCACTATGTAGTGGGGCAGCTTTGCACACATTATATTCTAATGAAGGGATGAGCAACCTGAGTTCCCCAAGCCAAATGAAACTTTCAGGGTTCTACTCATGTATTCTCCAGTACCTTAAGACTGGATTGACAAGCTTTGGTGATACCATTTTAGGCCTTTAGGGAGGTTTTTCAAGGGCGTTTCTTAGTGACTTCCAGCTCCCTTTCTTTCTGTTTTTGCTGCTTCTAATCATGCATTGAGTATCTCTTGAAAGACTTGACAGAATCCCTGTGCCTATGCTATTTCAGCTGAGATGCTGCAGCCTAGGACAATTGTGAGATTTAAGACATATTGAAACCAAGAGTGTTTCAATGTGCACAGTTCACTGCTGTGTTGCATTCCAGTTATAAACAAGTTGTAATATTATTCCACCCAAAGCCTAGAAGTATATATGGAATAACAGACATACTCTGAGTTGAGATTTTTCTCCAAATATGTAAAGAGCAGCTTGTCGCTTGAGGAGTCGGTTCTGCAAATAGGCACTGCTGCTGGAATATGAAGGTGAACCATCTTTTCCAGCTAATCTTGCACCCACATCAAGGAATGGCATCTGAGTGCTGATAAATCGACCACTAGAACGAAGACTGGCCCACACACCTTCATAAAAATTAAAAAATGTTATGAAATATTTTGTATTTTCACATACATGAGCTTTTAAAATTAAATTTATATGCTGCCTCCCAATGACTCTGGGCAGTTGCAAATGTCCTATGTATATATTACTTTGAAACACATTTGCACTGCTATTATAATCAGTTACACTAAACATAACATATATGCTCTGAATTGATAACCATGATTTACCGTAATAATTACATTCAAATCACCTCATGTTTAATACTTTTTTCTGTATCTTCAGCTAGCTATAGACAGTGTAACCACATTATGTAGAAACAGTGTGAGCCTCTTTTAAGTAAGGTGCATTAATTTGCATTGGGATTAGAGAATAGGAAAAAGCAGTTACTAATTAATATGATGCTGTTGGCATATATGTCATTACAAAACTACCTCCTGTATTACTACTAACATTGGTACATTGAACTTGATCCATGTGATTTCTTATTCCTTATGCATGGAGACTGTAATTAATCGTGGGATCTGAGCAATCTAGCTGATGCCAAAAGTATGCTACCATTAGATGATCATTACAAGTAATAGAGATAAATGGATTCTTCTGTTTCCCATCAATTTTTCTTCAGCTCTTCTGGCCCTAGAAAACTGTCATGTGAAGTAACACGCTCTTTGAGAATAGCAAGTGTATTAAAATATAAGTCATGTTTGGTCTGAAGGTCATTGCTTTCCATGGATTTATTAACAAAATTCATAATGCAGCTGAGAATTCCAGATCAGCTGATATTATTTCTGAGAAATTGTACTATAGCAATTGACATGTTTAAAAAATAATGAAGCGTTGCCACACAAATATTGCTGATAGGAATTGTCCCACTACATACAAAGCCAGCCTACTGACTTTTAGTTATGAAACTGAAGATGGTAAACTATTATTTAAAGTAATCTCTGAAATAAGAAAAATGGTATGCAATCTTTATTTTTATTAATAATAAATAATTGAATAATCAGTTGCCATTCAAATCTCAAAGCATTAGCTGACAAAATGGTTATATTATATCTTTTTTCTAAAAAATAAAAAAGAAAGAAATCTGAAATAAAGCATCACTTCCCCTTTTGCCATTATTAAAACAGGGCTCGATTATACCTTGCTTGCACTACATAAAAAGCGATGGTTGCAGATTGAAAAGCACATGCAGATTACCACATTAGCTAGTGATGGGTTACAGTGATTAAAGGACATAGAGATAACTTTCAAATCTCTTGTGATCATAAGATAATACTTAAAACAAGCAAATGCATATATGCACTCTTATTTTATCTTATAATTTAGACATTTATTCCTTTTTAAATAACCAATAGTATTTATGTGATCAAGAGTACTTGTGTAACAAAATTTCATCATGATTTAGTTTTTGGTAAGTGATCTGAGCATAATTCTGTCCTTTCTGCAAAAAAGATAATGCTTATGGGTCTGTGAATCACTCCATAGTATATTATAGCAAGAGGATGGCCTGGCAATTATATTTCATGCCCAAGCAAGCCAACTTTTTTTTCTTTAATATGCATTGATACACATAATAAAAGAGAAAATGTAGATTCTTTCTAATTTGGAATTTATATGAAACATTTATCTCTGTAACCAACCACTGGCGGTTATATCTGTAAGGACAGGAGGAGAAGGAAAAGGAATGGGGCAGACATTGCAATAAAGCAGTCACAGCATATTGAACAGAAAAAAAGAAAGATCACTTCTATATTTCATATATTTATTCTATATTTCACTTCTATATTTCATATCATATCTTTGATTATAATAAAAACAATTGCTTGTAGCATTTGAGTTTTAACAGCTAGCATCAAGGATTCAATCTCTAAATCAAGCTGCAAGGGAAAAAATGTAGATCAGCTGAAATATAGGATAACATTTATGGGCACTGCAGCAACTGCAGACATGCCTAACAGCCATGTGACAGCGAATTATACCAACTGGAAGAGTGTCCGGTATGAAAAAAAAAACTCTGGAAAAATGTATCAGTTTTAAAATCCACAATTTACCACTATTATTTATGTTATTAGTAGAAGAATAAAATCAATGCAGGGTGAAAAATCAAACAAATGTATCTCTGTACTCTTTCTTTCAAGCACCATGTGCAATCAAATTATTAACATGCAAAATTTTGGTCTGGTTGATTCTATTCTACAGCACTAGTAGACTGACTACTAAACATAATATCTAGGCTTATGGTATTAAGCTGATTAAATTATTCTGTATAGTAGAGCTGTATAGTTAAATAATTCATGGAAATGACTTCTGATTCTAAAGGAAAAGCATTTTAGCTTTGATTTTAAATTTTTCTAAAGAAAAAAGTGTTAAATAATTTGTGAACAACAAGGAATGTTATTCTTTTTGAAACATTTTATCCCACTAATCTTACAAATATTTAGGTGGTGAAAGTTAACCTGGATGTTAAACCTTATTCATACAGTTGATTAAGTACCCTGTAATTCAAACCTAAGCTGAAGACTTTATTTCTATCTATTTGTACTGCATTCTTAAATACAATTATTTGTTCACGTAAACTTCGCCATCTAACATCCTTATTAATAGATTCATAAGGAAGGGTGGCAGAATTATTCTCTTTCAAATATTGACTTAATGTTAAAAAATAAAGATATTGTTTATAACTGACCAAGAATGTACTTCAGTATGATGCTTCCATCAACTAAGGCACTTTTCTTCTGTTTTTGTATTCTTTATAATTCTTTATAATCTTGTAATCAAGACAGGGAACATATTAAAAATGGCTACCTTCCATTCATCTAAATGGCAATTGGAACCAATTGACATAGACATTACATCATTCAAGAATATTCACTTAGCATTTAATTGCACTTAATTATGCTGATAGTTGTGATCACTCTAAATATAGTTTCCTTGCTTATGGTGCTGAATTTGTTCCTTGAGATTTCCAAGAAATTGAGTGCTTTTATATGAAATCTACATTATACAGTCAGCTAATATACCCATTCTTCTGAAAGTAAGATAACAAATAAATATTAATACTATAATGAATATTTTGAAAAGAGATTTCATCCCAAAATACAAAAATGTTGCCAAGAAAGTTCTAAATTAAATACAAGGCTGAATTCACAGTTACCGTTACAGTAAAGTGCTTCTTTTTGGTACTCCTTGCATTATGGAGGTAAATTGTCATGTAAAAGAAGAAGAAAAATGAATATATTTTGTTTCTATCCCTATCATGTTTCATTATTATATCAAGATTTTATGAGAGCAGTGACTGGAAGAGAAATTACATAATTACATAGAAAGAAAGTTACTGCTATACTAGATTGATTTTTAGGGGAAGCCTAAATATTTTCTGGACTGCTTACAGAATAAATCTAGGCAAGCTTTTGATGACTTTGGCAACTATATTGTTCTAATACAATGTGTATGAATCTCTTACATGCTGTCATGGGCATTCTAACCAATACAATGACTGGTCTTTCTAGAAGCTAGTGCAAACATGTCTACTCAATGATTCTACTCTATTGGTAGACATAACCATTCTCAGCCTGATTCCCTTATCAGAGTACTGCTATAGCCAATCCACATTATTACACCTCATCTATCCCAAATTAAATAAATTTGACTTCTACATTCAGCACTGTCCCTAATTTGTTATATTAAAGATAGTAAAAAAAAAATACTGGCAGATCCCTAGGTGAGTTGCAGTAGATGAGCAAATATTTTTAACTGCTATCAATACCAACAACAAACAGCTATTGCTTTATAAATTAGGTATCTAGCCAGATGTGAGATTTGTGAAAAACTAATAATGTTGAGTTCAGTTTAATTCTAACAACTCTAACTTTGGAGGCATTTTGTTCTTTAAGTGTCAGTCTTAACAAGAAATTTTTTTTTTCATAAGGCTATTTTCCCTTGTCATTCTTGATCTACCACACATGATAAACTACAAATTTTACAGTATTGTCACAATAAAGGGTATATTGTATTTTAAAAGCACTTCTTCCATTAGTTTCTAATCTATTCATTATTAAAACATTATCATTTACAGTGAATTTAGATAGATGTTAATTTCAGTTAAATTATATCTTTTCCCCAGTCAAATCCTGGTCATTTTACATTATCACATTATTATTATTTTTTTAAAAAGCATATTCTTGCAATTTGAAGGGCATAGTTAGGGACAGAGTTTATTTTACTATTTTACTATTATTTTACTAAAATGCAGGGTTGATTACATACACCTCAGCTGTGTAAGAATTTGCAGTGGCTGTGCAATCAATACAACAAATTGATGTTTAAAAGCAATGCTCAGAAAAAAAGTTTGCTATAATATTTAATAATTCTGTGGGTAGACATTCTCATTTCAATGTATAATATTAATAGCTATACATAAAAGATGTTTCAGTATTAAACATCTTGACTGAACAGTTGAGTTCTACAGGTAATTAAAAATTATTACTTTAATGATCCACATTTGTGAATGTATAGAAAAGAACAGTTGCTGGAATCCATGGCTATTCTATTCTATGAAAACACTGTCCTGAAATGTTCCATATATAGTTTCATATTTTGTGTATGTGGTCAAATATTGAATGTGTAAGTAATATATAAATAAATGTTATCACAGGTGGCCCACCTAGAATTCCCCCTAAAATATGTTCTTGATGGCATCTTCCATCCGATAAAATGTCCAGTTGAAATCTAGAAAGCATAATTACTAGTCCTTACTGCTTATGCAAAAAAAAAAAAAAACCCCAAATGACAAGAACTACATGCTTATTCATTTGCATGTACAATCTTTATTTCAAAATGCATACTCTTGTGTCGATAGGCAGATCAGGCAATTTTTATAAAAAAGCTATAATTCATGTGTGTTTAATGCAATCAAGTGAGGCAAAATGCAAGAATAACCCTTACGTCCATTCCTTTGAACTAGTCTTACTAACCTCCTCGAGCAAAGCTATTGGACAGATTTACATCCAAATGTCCTGGCACTACCTGCTTAAACACAGTAGACATTCTTGAAGCCCTCCTTTCAGTGCCTAAAGTCAGTCAAAAAGAATGGAGAGATTAAAAGTAGAATATCATTCAAGTTGACACATTACCTATATATTACCCTAATTTGAACCCTATATTTGAAAACAACAATGACACATATATAGAAATATTCTTTCAATAGTTTATCTAGCTGCTGCCTCTTTCCCACATTTAAGAGACATTACACATAATTAGAAATAGCAAGTATATATTTGCAGCATCACAGGAAGTTAGGCATGGCTAACACAATCAAATTATTTAACAACAAATGAAGCAAAGCATGCACAATTGGTGAAGGGGTTATGTTATGAAAAAGCCAGAATTTAGATACAATTGATTTCACCAACTGATTAAGCCAAATGGACAAACTTGGCAAGTTGCATGCTCCTGTGTCTAAAACAGCAGCGTTACCTTGGTTTGAACCCTACAGGTTTCATCACATGACAACTGAAATAGAATATTAATGCATTTCTTAATGGCTTTATCCAGACCTATTCTGCAAAAAGCATATCACATTTTAACCTTTCACCTACAAGACATATTTATATGTATGTTGATAAAGCTATTTAAGCATTCCAAATTGCTTGTAAATTTCTAATAGATCTAAAGTGCTGTACATGTGCTCACATATGTAACACTGAATCTCACTAGCTACAAATTTTACTTAAGTTCAAAATTCTTTACTTTTATATACTGTCATTTATATGAAAAGTATATTTGCAAAAATTCCAGAGACAAACCAGCTACCTAGGCAATGATTTATTAAGGCAATGAGATATTATGTTTGTTTGTTTGTTTGTTTTGTCAAACACTTACAATATAATAGAAATAAGAATAAACATAAGTTTAAATACATGAAATAGGAACTAATAATTGGGGACAGGGATGGTAGGCACGATTGTGCGCTTATGCAATTGTACCCCTTACAGACCTCTTAGGAAAGGGGTGAGGTCAATAGAGGTTAGTTTGAGGGTAAAGGAGTGGGGGTTTGAGCATGTGACAACATAATCAGGTAGTGAGTTCCAGACATTTACCACTCTGTTGCTGAAATCATACCTCCTGTAATCAAGTTTGGAGTGGTTTACATTTAGTCTATATCTGTTGTGTGCTCTTGTGTTGTTGTGGTTAAAGCTAAAATATTCATTAACTGGTAAGACATTGTAACATATGATTTTATGTACTATGCTTAAGTTCAATCTTGGCTGGCGTAGTTCAAGGTTGTCTAAGTCTAAAATCTCACGTCTGGTGGTGTAGGGTATTCTGTTGCAAACAGAGCAGTGTAGTTCTCTTCTTGTAAAATACTTCTGGACTTGCTCAATTGAATTAATGTTTGATATACAGTGCGGATTCCATTAATGTGAAAATCAAATTAGAAGAAAGTTCATCATAAACATAATTTTTCTGTTTAAATGTTGAATTTTAACAAAAGCTATCCAAAAATATTATGTTACCTGGAGATAAAGCAATTGCTGGTCTGATTGTAAGAGTATTGTTGCCATTCAATTTGCAATGGACAGAAATCGCATTCAGTAAGGCTTGAAGGTATTTTTCTTGTTCTATGCTGCTTGATGATTCAAGTGATGTAGGAGCTATGCAAACAAATGCAGGAAACAGATTATACCCTTGATTTTTTACAGCACATTTCACTTCTCTGAAATGAAAACAGCATCCAATTGATGTGTTTATTTATCTGCTCTTTTGATTCTGGGCAGATAAATAAATATAACTACTCAAATTAAAAATAAAAGTGAATAAATAAAAACTAAATACAATATAACGTCATAGCTCCCAACATGGATAAAATATACAAACATTTATCACAGTGAAAGTAATATGAGGCAATTTTAGTATTTTGCTTGCAGATGAAATCAAAACATAACTACCGTATTAATGAAGAACTGCTTCTAATATACCCTTTTGAAGATACCTTTACTATTTCAGTAAATACAGTATAATGATGTTTATGGATACACAAGCATTTTCTGCTTTTCCATGTATTGTTCTCCCACTGGCCTACTCATATGAGCATGAATAACAGAGCTGTGCAATGCATGCTCTGAAAAAGATTAAGAAGAAATGCTTTGGACTCATGGCAGCATAGCACCACTCTGCTGTTTATTAAAGAAACTCACTTTTGGTGGGCTTTTGCACAAGCCTGGAAAAAAAAGATGCAGCTGTTTTATGGGACTGATTCTATTAACTTACAAAGCAACCACACCTTTCCTTCAGGTTTCTGAAGAAGCCTGAAGAAAAAAAGGAACACTTTACTGAACAGCAGAGAGGACTCAAGACTCATAAGACACTTGAAACACTGCCAAATAATTTTCAAAATATACCTGAAACTGTGCAGCAAATTCAATAAGTAAATGGCCATATCTCAACAGAGGTGCAAATCCAGGGAACATGAACCTGGCAAATAATGCCTAAAAGATAATTAAGGTTTTTCTTCTAACATTCACCGTTGCCTGTTTAGAGCTTGGCTACTATTTCTTTTAATCCTTATTTCAATTCGGCATTTTCTTCCTCACCTTTTCCCTATATTATTCACTTTTACCACTTTTTCCATTTCATCCTACACTCCTTTTTCCCCCTCTCCAATCTTTCCCTGAGTTTCCAAGCACTGTATATATTTTTGCCCCAAAGAAAATAATAACCAGAAAGAACAGTCTCTGTTTGTATATAGTTTGGCTTAAGCAAACAATGACTTTGGGGATGGTTTGTTCTTGGGGCCTTGGTGATACATTTTTCTTTCCACTTGCTCAATTCTTGCAGTTAAACGCTTGAACATGACATACCAACAAAAGCTGCACAGCAATTATTTGTAGATTACTGACATCGAAGAATTTACTTTTATTGTGTGGATACATTCAAAGCACAAACTCATACAAAGCAGTATAGTATTCCTAGGATTATGCTGGAAGTATTTAAGCAATTAAAATCTATTCACTTCTTAAATTCTTGAATGATTCATGTCTCGTGTAACTTGCACGTAACTATTCATTTCTTTTTTATGATTCTGTTCAAAAATTCCATAGGGCAAGTTTTTTCAAGCAAACTAATAATACTAATTGGTTACCATAGAATAAACCATATTTCCACTCTTACCTCATACAATAAATACCGATTTTCATGTTAGTTCACTGCCTAGTAAATGGTCACATTTATGAGGTGTGTGGTAGGGTGTGGGGGTTGTTCAGGGGAGTGTCATGCCTTAATGAGTAAGAAACATTTTATGTATGATACTATGGATTTAGCTAGGCAACATTTCTTCTGTTTATATGGCAGAGCAGAACAGACATAAAGCTCAAAAATGAATTAAACATTAAATATTTTTCTCTTATTTCCTAAAAGTTATAACAAGATAGAATCTTAATAATTTTGCATTTATTAGATGTAGGTTCCATGATACATGATACACTGAGATATTTTTCCCCATTCTACTTCCCTCCAAGTGCATTTTAACCGCCACTGTATTTTGCCTGTGTGGAGGTTAAGTCTGGAGGCACTTGTTTGGATAAAGTATTACTTTTTTTTAGAAAGACCCAAAGTATTTGTAAAGATTGGCGCAATGTAATAACAATTGATTATATAAACACCTTCACATTCTATAAGATAATTCATACAAAACATAACCTCACCTGAGGATTGTGTATTTTGTGATTTGAAAAGGCCAACAACTCCTTTCCCATGGAAACCACCAGCTCGAAACAGGAATGTACTTGCTTTTGAGTTTTTCCAACACACTACTGGCAAGCGATTGTGCCGATAGCAGCGAGCTACTCTTTGCAGGCTGCTGTCCTGTACGCACTGGGGTACCACTAACAGTCCTGGGTAACTGGAACACAGTGAAAAAGGGAGATCATACAATTGAATTGGTTATAAAGAAAAACTAAGGTGACTTTTCGTTGCAGAATTCTCCTGCTGAATTTCCAGTATAACAGCAGATTAAACACCATGTGAACTTAGAACATCTGAAAACTCCAACAGCTAATAAACACCTTTGTTCTGACACCAAAAAGGAATGGCAACAACCCAAAAAACCACCTAACATATCAACTTATCACTTACATCTGTTTTAACAGATATTTCCCACGCTAGGGTCATTTCCTGTCAAATCTGCCATAGCCCAGAGTCATTCATTGGACCATCTAAAATCTGTTTGGGTTGGTGGCGGTGTTCTTGTTTATAAATCTCCCCACCCAATAAGCTTTTAAAAATATATACTGCATTGTAAACAACTTCAAGAAAAAAACTGCATTCTTAAACTTTGTCATCATTTTACTTGATCAATATTAAAACAAGCTTTTTGCCACTCTTCAATGGCTTATTTTTAATCCATTATTTCCTTTACAAAACAGAGCATCAATACACAGTATTTCATAGAACATTGGCTGGGAAGAGCCAATAATTACTGCTTAATTATTGCCAAAAATTCTGACTGCCAATTTCTTGCCAATCTCTTTCTTTTCCAACCTAGCTAATGCTAATCAGAGATGCTAGGATTTCTTTTCAATTATAGTCAATGAAATTCTCCACTAATTTTTACTGATCCAAATCAGGAAAGAGGTGATAGGTTCAAGTATAAGTGCCTTGTGTGTATAATTGCCAAATGTCCTTAGATTTCTTCTCAACTTAATCAAGGAGAGAAGCAATCTGGAATTGGGGAGAAACTTCCTAAAAATGAGGACAATTAACCAATGGAACAGTTTCATAGGTGGTATTCAGCAAGTTCTGACCAGTTCTGGAGAACCGGTAGTGGAAATTTTGAGTAGTTCAGAGAACCGGCAAATACCATTTCTGACTGGAGATTTTACAGTATCCTTTCCCTGTCACGTCCACCAAGCCACGCCCACAGAACCGGTAGTAAAAATTTTTGAATCCCACCACTGAACAGCTTGCCTTCAGACATTGTGGGCGCTTCATCACTGGAGGTTTTTAAGAAGAGACTGGATAGTCTCTTGTTTGAAATAGTATAGGATTTCCTGCTTGAGCAGGGGGCTGGACTAGAAGATCTCCAAGGTCCCTTCCAGCTCTATTCTAATTCTCTGGATGTGGGAATGGGCAAAGCTGAATGCATAGCTGTCTTTATTGATCTTATTCAATTCTGCAAGTTCAAAATAAGGAAAGGATTTTTGTATGTGTGATAAGCAGTTAAAAAGAAGGAAACTTGGTCATACTTGCTCAGTTTTTTCCAGCACAAATTCCTAACAAATGATTGATTAAGTATTAAAATAAAGGTTATCAGAACAATAATTTAATGCAATGGTTTTACAGACTCATGCTCTTTGGAACACATAAGGGTCCTTTTCTTCATTCTGCTGAATTAGCCCGGTAATTCTATCCCAATGTTTTGCTCTAACAGCTTAATTATATTATTTTTATTTATAATTATAGTAATATATTATAGAAGGCATCTTTAGCAAGTAAGACAGTCACTACAGAAACCAATAAAGAAAACATGTACATTTCATACTTGTCCATGACTAGCTGTTTATAAATACTTAGTTTCTATGAAGAAGTTTAGCTATTTCAAATGTGAGACATCAAACGCAATCAATATTTTGGCCCTGAGAAGAAATGAACTCTGGCTTGCCTCAAAATCTATTTAACACTGTAGTATACAAATAGCTGATTATATAACTTTTTTTAAAAAAATATTCAGCTGAAAAGTTTTATTCGAGTTTTCCAACAAGATTCTAAAGTTTTGGAACATTTTAAAATAAGACAAATTTGGATGAAAGTGTCTGTGGTCATTTGTGCATAGATGAAAATAAACACATTTAAAATATTTCTGATGATCTGTATGTTTTGGAAATACACAAACACAAGCTTGCACATTAAATACAATTTTAAAAAATAAAGTAATTAAGCTCTTATGAAAGTAGTACATTCCCAAGAGTGGTTGTAAAATTCACTGGATGTATTTCTCTTTCATATTCCAATGATTGGTACTGGAGACTTCTTCTGTGCACCATTGTATAAACGATCTGCCTAAGATGCCATTTACACAACTAATGTCAGCAATTGTGTTATAATTTGTAAGGAAAATGTACAACAATAAATCTTATTTAATTTGAATAAATTCATATATGTAGGCTTCCTGGAAGAGATAGAATTCTGAAGGAAGAGGAACAGGAATAAAGATACTAGTGAAGTAGCTGAAACTCTGGCCCTCTTCATCCACCTCTCAAGGGCCCCTTGTAATTAAACATTAAGTATTTTTCTCTATTCAACATCAACTCTTAAACGCTTATTTCCATGATGCTGTCTCTTGGGCAACCAAGCCATTTTTTTTCTGGATCAACTGCAATTCAATTCATTCAGCCATTTATGTTGCTGTAGCCTAAAGTTGGGAGTTCTGTGGGAGATTTCACAAGTCATTGTTAGCAGACAACTCGATCTTAATAATATTAGTCCATTTCATGCAGTTCTTTTAAAAAGTTCTGCTTTATTTTGCCCGCTTATATCAATACCAAATTCTTCTTTCACCCAACTTTTCAATCTCTAGCTACATGTGAGCTATCATTCTACCATCACACACACACACACACACAGACAGACAGACAGACAGACAGACTTAACACTACAATCATGGATGAAACTATTCTAGAATGAAAGTTCCTGGATGCAAAACAAACAAATTTGATAAAAAATATTTCAGTATTTTATATAGATAGGCAGTTAAAAAAGATATTGCTCCCTGTAACTGAGAACAGTTCTCACAAAATATAGCGAGGAAAAAACTTCTAAAAACCCTCTACAAGGGCAGTGATCCATTTTCAGCAGTAATCTCTCTTCTCCCTGGTAAGCCACTGTCAACTAATTAAAAACAAAACAAAACCAGAACTACAGTAGTTAAATACTGGATACAATGTACAAAGGGAGCACAACACTAGACTATTATGCTTATAAAGGGAAATCACTCAGTGACTGCTAACATTCCTAAACTATACATCTGAATCCAGCCTGTAGTGTTTAAATAGTTGTAATGAGAAGATTATGAACATCTAACCAAATGCCTACAAAAAATATTCTGGCATTTTTATTGAGCAGTCTTTATGGTTACTAAGTGCTAGGAATCATAACTTCCCCATAATTTTTAATATTCTATGTATACTTTAGCATCTACATGTGCATATACCTATCAAAAAATTTTAAAAGCTAAAATGTTTTACTTGCTCATTAATTAGATTAATATTACAATGAGAAAATGAACTGTAGATGAAATAATTTTTAAATATTGATATCTCACGAATGACTGCATGCAGATGATAATCTAGTTATCAACAAACTAAATTTCTTCTCGTTTAGAAATATAAGGGTCCAATTAGATTAATATCATATCATATCATATACACTGAATTGAAGCACTCTTTCCTAATCCAATATGCAGATGTCAGGAATTTTATTTAATATTTTATTTGATGCTGTATTTTTTACAAGCAAACCCTCTGTTTTAGAAGTCTTACCTCCACAAAGAATCTTTTTTCAGCCATTTGCAATATAGACTAAAAATTGTGATAAGTGGGTCACATAACTTAGATCTATTTTAATAACTAAGATGGCTTACCTTCTGCAAAGGGAATACATCCTGTTTAAAGCTGTTATTCGAAAGTATTCTGTTTTTGAACGTGAAGAACTGTTACTGATGGTTCCTAACCCCAAACGTTGATAATCTCTAAAACAAGCTCTTTCCACTAGCTGCTCCATTGTTGATTTTTCTGATGCTTTCAAAGTACTGCTTGTGTGCATTTCACTGTCATCTGAAACTAAAGTTGCAATAATTTTAGTAGCTTAGCATACTGTGACTTGTGTAACAAGACAGTGGCAAAAAAGAGGCTTCAATACTACCTGAGACATCATCTTCTTCATTCAATCCAGGACGATTTGTCCTTTCCTCTATGATTGTTCCTGTCTTTTTTTTTAGTAAGTGTTGCCGGCCAATTGTCATTTTCCCCGCACGTTTTGCTCCTTTTACAATTGTTTTTGAAAGAGTGCTAAATTTAGAAAAAAGGTAAAAATATCTGTACTTTTGCTGAAAGAGAATGCTAGTAACTGTATATTCTCCTCTTTCTTCCAAAATAGGTCTGCTAAGCTTTACTTCAATGAGTAGCATACTATGGAGTCCTCGTGCCTTCCAACAGAAAGAACTAGTGCTATTATGCCTACGCGTTTAGCTTTCACAAACCATTTTCATGTGGGTACCTTAAATATACATACAGACTGCATTTCCTCCTTCAATGATCAGAAATACAGAAGTGTGGGTTGATTACTTGTCCATATTATGTTACTTGTTCATTTTCACTACAATTTGGTTTTCATTTCAAATATATGGCACTACCTCCTTTGTTAAAGCATGGTGTAAAATCTAAATCAACTAAAGACTATATTTTTTTCTTTTTTACAATCCTGTAGTCCCTATTTGGGGTAGAACTGGAGTGACTAGATGGAGCTCAGCATTTACTGGCTGAATGCCCTTTCTGACACCTATGCTGAGTTCGCAGAAGATATTTTTTGTTTGCACCCTGAGAGAGAAACATCTGACACTACCTAGGATTGAACTCTCAATCTTCTGAGTAGGAGGTAAGCATCTTCATCACTAGGCCATCATGCTGCTCTATATTTCTACACTGAAATAATATTTCTAATAAATGTGACGCATAAATCAAAGGGGCAATCATTACCGAAAGGAAGTGTTTTTCTCCTTTTGTTTTGGCAAGATAATCTGAGGTGCTGTTTGGCCAGCTGCAAAAGCAAAAGTGCTGAAGATGGACTGAGGATAGCGAAACTTCATCAGCTGTTTCTTAAATATCTCTACAACCTCAGGGCTCACTTCCTCATCAAAAGCTACCTTGATCAGCTACAAATAAAAAGATGTAATGAGAGAAAATAACACATAAATACTGAAATATAAAAGATAAAGATATTTTAGGATATTCAGTATTAGGGCAATAGGAAAAGTTATTGCTAAGTTAAACATCATTATAAAGTTTTAAGCCTTAATACATCATTTAAAAAAATACAGTGCATGTCAATCAACTAGAATAAAATGTTTTAAATATATTATTTTTAACACATTTTTATAATTAATAACATTTAAACTTATAGTTAAAAGGAGCAATTAAAGTCATATAGTAATATATTTTGGTATACCAGGAATAGATTGTTTCAGAACTATATATTATAATAGGACTATATTATTTCTCACCCACTTTTAAAAACCCATGTGTGGAGTGATATGATTGCATACAAAGGTTTAAGCACCTCGGATCAAATTGTATGTTTCAGTGTAAATCCAAGCAAACTATTTTCTTATTATGAATCTATAGACAACTAAACATAAATAAGCATTTAAATTGCAGGATTATGTGTGTTAACATTGTACAATGTTGAATTTGTCTCAGCTTCTGTTTCCTATGGATTCATTGAAACAATTTGTCCTGTAGTGCCTATCATTTGTGCTATAAACTAACTGAACTGTAACATAACAAAGGGAAAGAGAATCTTTTATTAATTATCTTTTTTTTAAAGTAAGTTTTATACTTTATTTCTTTGGTCTCTTTATATTTTCTCTAATAAATATCTCAGGAGAATGTTGTCAGTTCTGCTCAGGACAATAAGCAGGAGCAAAAAGGCAATGAAGAGCAGGCAGAATGTTTTGTGTGGGCAAGTGTCCACTTCAATCAACTTTTAAAAACCACTTTGGCACATAAATCAATTAGTTAATATTCTGCTTTCTCTTTCAAGGTATCCATAGTAGTTACAAAATAAAGGCCTTTGAAATCAAATGGGACTTTCAAAATGGGAAGTTCTGATCTATGAGGTTTTTATATTCTATTTACCTGAAAGGTAGCTGAGGTGATCTGCAGCCCTTCTTGCATACTTTGCTGAAGTTGATTTTGGATGGTAATTTTCTTCTCCTTTGTTACTGAAGCAATGGGGAAGCTTCGAATAACTGTTTGTTCTCCAACTAAGAATATCAGGAGAAAAACATTGCATCATAGATCAAGTAAGGCAACTGGGAAGACGTATTCATACATGAGGAAGTCAGACCACACAAAAGACTTATGCCAAGGCTAAAGAAATGAAAATCTCAACAACAGATAAATTACACCTAGAGTTCTGATCTATTTTTTATTTAACCCCCCCCTCTCTCCATACTTCTAATGATTGCACCATTTTCTTAATATTTATTAAAAGAGTCTCTTTAGTATTTGCAAAAAAAATAAATGTATTTATCAACAGACAAACCAGATAGGATAGAGTCAAGAATACTGATCCTTGCTATTTCTATACCTTTAGTGAGTTTTGTACCTTTACTATTTTGATATTTTCTGCTGCCCGGAAGTAGCTATTTTTAGTCAGCTAAACTAATAGTCTCATTTAGCAGACAAGACAAGAAGAGACAAGAATAGTTGCTTGTGGTATTTCCTGTCTCAGGGGTCAAAATAATCTGTCTGGACGTAATCCTTCTGGCTTTGCTAGGTGAACTGGAGATGCAATTTTTAGTTCTACTTCTGGAAAAAAACGCATTGCAGCAGCACTCCTGATAAAGATCATATATTTTATATTATGCAGTATATTTCCTGCATCATTTTTAACAATTTTGCAAGGCCAGTGATGTCACCCTTGTTATTTGTTATATCACAGAAAGTTTTTTTCCTGGCATATATTTGCTAGGAAAATAGTGAACATCAGCCCCAGCCATGCCAGTACAAATTATCCCTATTATTTTGAGTGTAGAAATATTACTACACTGTTTCTCATTCTAAGCACGGATGAAAAATATTGATGAATCATTTCTACCACTGTTTCCATGGTGTCTAGAAATAATTGGAGTTTATTTTTATAAAACCCACAGAAATTGCACAATAGAATGTTTATCCTCAGAAAGGTACAGCTACATTTAAATAACAGTAATGCTAATCAAGGAATGATGTTATTTTTCTCATACCTCAGATAAATGTTTCTGTGCTTGTTCATGACACTATTCTCATGGCGTTTTGAAATAGTATACTTTTTATTAATTCCCTAAAAATACTATTAGGGAGTACAAGGAATCCTGGTGGATAGCACTCTCCCTAAATATTTAACATCAATTTCCTTGTCTTGTAATAAAAAATAAATCCCTTATTTTTGGAGCCATAAATAATAAGCTTTCATTTTATTTTAAATAATGTAACCAGACAAGTTTAAAAAAGAACATCTGTAAATGATCCGAGCCATCATAAGGAAATACAATATATAAGTCTGAGAATGAAGGAAATTAGCAAGCCACTTTCTATTATCTTGATGTATATTTAACTGTCTTGAGATTAGAGAAATGGTTGCTGGCTAACAACTACTAGTTCTACAATCATATATTCACTTAAATAAGCATATGCTAGGAGATGGTGCTTTGTATTATGAAGGTGAAGGATCAAAAATGATTTGTGTGTGTATGTGTGTATTTGTGTATATGTGTGTGAGACAGACAGAACAAGAAAAGGGGAAAGATAAAATAGATAATCACAGGACAGGAAAGAAGAAAACCATACATCCAGTACATGCAAAAGATACAAACCAGGGGTGGGATTCTACCAGTTCGCACCTATTCGCTAGAACCGATTGTTAACATTCTAAGTAGTTTGGAGAACCGGTTGTTAGAAGAAATTACTGGCCTAATCCTGTAAGGAAGGCAGGAAGTAAACATTCTGGTGGTGCTTACAGAAACTGCCTCTCCGTTAACCCTTATTATATTCTTGGCAGGACTAGACTTCTTCTCTCAGGAACTTCTCTGGAGTTTTTTCCCCTCCTTTGCTGGTACTTTGCTTTTGTGGAGTGACCATTCAAAGTTACAATGGCACTGAAAAAAGTGACATGACCATTTTTAACACCTATGACTGTTGCAGCATCCCCACAGTCATGAGAGGCCAGGCGAGGAGATGCGCATCTCAATGTGAGTGATATTGAGTTGACCACTCCCACCAACTAAGCCACGCCCACAGAACTGGTTGTTAAAAAATTTGAATCCCACCCCTGATACAAACATACTAATTTAATATAGACCTAATACAATAATACAATCTAAAATTTCTTGGAAAAGGGTAAAATATTCCCATGGCATTGAAAATATAATGATGTGATATTTAGATGTGGGCCTTCTTATCAGCACATACCTAGTTGATCATGAGGGGTGCCTTTAAATATAACTCTGTATGTAGTAAGGAACAAAGCTCCTTCTGCAGGAAGAATATGAGGGCCTCCAAGCAAACCTCCAGTTGCCTCTTCTCTGCCATCAGGATCCAGGAGCACACGGAGACCTTCACACACAAACTCTTCCCCTGGTAGCAAATCTGGTCGTAGAATCTTGGGCTGAACCCAAAGATTTTTTTTTAAAAAAAAACTTGCAACATAACAAATACAATATAATTTCAAATAATACATTTTGGCTATGATTATTACAAAATATAATAAATCTGGCAAAGTTAGTTTGAAAGAGCAGGACTGAATGTTTTCTGCAAATTCAGTGTAGCTTAGAAAGATTTCTTCTAGAGCAATTTTTTTTCTATAACCAGATTTTTGCTTATTAAATTGGAAGAGATGCTCCACCTACAGAAAATTAATAATCCTCTGGGACAGGATACTCATCTCCCTTTTTTATTTGAATCCTGTAAGAAGAACCCTGTAAGAAGGGATAACTTATATTGGTTAGGCAACCACTGCTTCCCCTCTCTTAGAATATTATAAAGATAAATTCCTTGTGTGTCCCAATGACACTTGGTCAATAAAGAATTATGTTCTATTCTATTCTATATATCTTTTCTCGTTATTCATGATCAGAAGTCTGGAGTGCTACTGGGACTAAGGATAAGTAAGAAAAGGTTTGGATTAGTTAATTACTCTCCAGTCTAAAGAAAAAAACTTTATTGGTTAAACTGCTCCTTGATTTAAAGCTGGGTCACAGCATATAATGGATGATAAGCAGCTGTGTACGTACAAGAGCAGTTTGTTTTACTTAGAGCTTTGGCTGAGCTACAGTATTTTCTCTGGTGTGTATTTCACATAATTATAGAAAAGCTGCTTATTTGTTGAAATTATTTTCTAGGAATATTTTGAACTTTTCAAATGTTATCAAACACATTAGAAAAAGGAAAGCTGAAGCTGTCAAATCGGTTGTATTTTTCAGAGCTATAAAGCAATATAAACAGAAATACTTGCCTTCTGTATTGGTGGCAACCTTCTACTTTCTCGATGGACAGCCTCCAGAGTCTCAATGTGCATGGCTACAATTCCTGGGAATAAATGTCACCCCAAATGAGCATAATACAGCAAGAACAAAACAGACTAACAAAATATTTTATGCAGTCTAAATATTGCCTCCAGAAAACCCACTACAGTTCAGACGTAACTAAAATTAGACTAACAAACTCTAATTTCCACCTGAAAAGAACACCCATGTCCAGTATAAGATTATCTTTTTTGGGACAGAACAAAATATCTCCCTATGAGAGGAGTTCAAGACAAGAACATGGTTCCTCATACCTGGTATCATGCAATGAAGACTTCGGATGTGATCCTGTGTAACTCCACTTTCAGTACAAACTTTGTCTATGAATCTGGTAATGAAGCGCACCACAGCATTGGCAACATCATTATTTTCAGAATCTTCAAAACCACTTTCAGTATCATAGCTCTCTGCAACACTGCCTGCAATGCTAAGAAAGCAATTCCAGTAAGCTAAATCCGTATTAGTAAGAAAATAAACCACTCTGTATGACAACTAATTGTAATGATGGGGGAATTCTATTGACACACCTATTTGTGACAATGCTATTGCTTCCACTCTCCCAGTCTCCTGTAGCTGACATTCTTAGCAGTTTGTTTTTACTGGTGTCCAATGGCACTAACAGATATACCATAAGGTTGGCAAAGTGAATTGCTTGGCTGAAGACCATGCTTTCTTCACTTTGTACCAGCTGCTGTTGAGTCTCTTTACTAAGTGTTGGCCACAAACGTAACTGCTCAGCTGCCAAGTCCATGGCAGTTTTTTCTTGCCCATGGTCTTCAGAAAATTTCTCCTGGAAAAGAAAAATAGCTAAATATGATTTTATTTCCAACATTTAAAATGTTTTCCTCCTCTAGAACAAGAAACAAGAATATAAATAAAATCAAAAATCAAAGTGAGAAAAAATTAGGCAGATATATTCAAATATATTCAAGCACCGTGCTGAAGAATAGAAAAATATAAACATAAACCACAATAAAATAACACAAAGTTTCCAAGGGAACGAAAATCAGAAAGCGACTTGATACTGGGATGCAGCTTCTCTGTCATTCCAATAGTCATGCTATTGGGTATGTGAAGAGACAATTGACCTTCACAGGTAGGATCTTGTGATACTCCAAGTCTCAAATCCAATCCTGCTTTCATATCTACTTTGCCCTGGCTTAGGATACCAAATCTGGTATATCTGTGCTATTCAGATTTTCCCTCCCAAATTCCCATCTCAAGTTGTATTACATTTTCCAATACATTCAAGATCAGACCCAGTAAAAGCATAACATCCAATAACATAAAAAAAAACTAAAAAGTACTATTCCTATTATTTTTAACAGATTCCCAAAGAATACATGGCAATATACTGTATGATTCTGAACACTATGAAAAGAGTGGCATATTCAAGTCTAATTTCTTTATGGACTATCCTCCTTTTCTCTGTGATATAAAGTTGCTGTTTCTTTATGAATGGCTTATGCTGACAATGAACTAGTAAAAAATGGTATGATAAAATGAATGCAGAACTTCAAAAAACAGTAGAACAATAGGAAGAACTATGGAACAAATCAACACAATTTATACCAAGCTTCAATTTGAGGGAAAATTGGTACAAAATATTTTACAGATGGCATAGAACTCAATTATTGCCAAAATGGATAATTCATGACTGATACATATTGAAAATGCCACAACAAAGAAGGAACATTTTACCGTATGTCATAGTTATGCAAAAAGACTCAAAAGTATTGGAAAAAATGCACCAAACATCCATAAATCTTTGAACATAAAATTTGAATTAAAACCACAAATATTTCTATTAGGTGTGATCTCAAGTAATGTAACTGAAAAGCATCACACTTTATTAAATTATATGCTGATGGCAGCAATAATCAATTTGGTACAACTTTGGAAAAGAGAAATATTGCTGCCAACACAGGATTGGGAGATCAAAATTGAAGAATATGCAGCAATGGAAAAATTAGATTAGATTAGATTTAGATTAGACTCAACTTCATTGCCATTGCCATGAATACAGGCAATGAAATGCAGTTAGCATCCAACCAGAAGTGCAAAACAACAGTAAAACATAAATATATGTATGCAAATATGCAAGGCATCCATGAATATGTCAATGGAAACCACAACAAAATGTATGTACACGAGCACACAAAGATAAGTGTGACTGCACATATATGAACATATACAACTGTACAAAATGTTTATGGACACATTGAATATAAATACAAATGCACAGAGAATTATACAAAATACATCATATATTTTCAAGGGAAGCATCAGCATATGTTTGGGGACAAACGAACTGAGGAGTTCAGCAAGGATATATAATATATATAACACATATATATATAATGCAATCCTAAATTGTATTAACAGAGGAATACAGTCAAGATCAAGGGAAGTACTAATACCACTCTATATAGCCTTAGTAAGACCACACCTAGAGTATCGCATCCAGTTTTGGTCACCACATTATAAAAAAGATGTTGAGACTCTAGAAAAAGTACAGAGAAGAGCAACCAGGATGATTAGGAGACTGGAGGCTAAAACATACAACGAACGGTTGCAGGAACTGGGCTTGGCTAGTCTAGTAAAGAGAAGGACCAGGGGAGACATGATAGCGGTCTTCCAATATTTGAAGGGCTGCCACAGGGAGGAAGGGGTCAAGCTATTTTCTCAAGTGCCTGTAGGCCAGACAAGGAATAATGGATGGAAACTGAACAAGGAGAGATTTAACCTGGAAATAAGGAGAAACTTTCTGACAGTGAGAACAATCAACCAATGGAACAGCTTGCCCTTGGAAGTTGTGGGAGCGCCATCACTTGAGACTTTCAAGAAGAGACTGGACTGCCATTTGTCAGAAATGGTGTAGGGTCTCCCGCTTGGGCGGGGGGTTGGACTAGATGACCTACAAGGTCCCTTCCAACTCTAATTATTTGTTATCTGTTAAGGAAACCACTGTGTGGTAAAAGCTGTTCCCTAGCCTGCTGGTCTTAGACTGCAGGCACCTGAACCTCCTCCCAGATGGAAGAAGAGTAAACAGTTTGTGGGCTGGATGGAAGGTTCCTTAACGATGCTGTGGGCTTTACGCAGACATTGTTTCCTCTGAATGTCCACAATGGCATGAAGTGGAATCCCTATAATGCATTGGGCGGTTTTCATCACCCTCTGTAATGCCTTTTTTTCTTTTATAGTGCAATTTCCATACCAAACTGAGATACAGTTAGTTAGGATGCTCTCGACTGCAGCGGTAGCAATTAGCCAGAATAGCTGAGGAGAGGTGATTCTTCCTCAGTAATCTCAGGAAGAAGAGGCACTGGTGAGCTTTCTTAATCAGACTAGTGGTGTTAATCTGCCAGGACAAGTCCTCAGAGAGGTGGATCCCCAGGAACTTGAAGCTGGTGATACGTTCTACCGTTCTCCTGTTGATGTATATAGGAGAGTGTGTGTTACCATTCTTTTTCCTGAAGTCCACAATGAGCTCTTTGGTCTTGTTAGTATTAAGTAATAAGTTATTGCCAGCGCACCACGTAGCTAGGCACTGCACCTCCTCCCTGTACTCTGAATCGTTGTTGTCAATCATAGCAGAAGTCTAACCAAATTCAAGTAATGAATGCTTTTCATCACAATAAAAAATAAAACCAAAGTGGGGATTTATCTTCTCCAAGTTCATTCTGAATTCATTCAAAGTCATGAATATCCTTGAAAAATCAATTTTAATAAATCAATGAATAATAGTTGTAGTTTAATCATTTAAAATATAGTTTTGAACACCATCACCTTATATTTCAAACTGCATAAAATTTAACAAATCTGTAAAGATGTATGAAGTAATCCACTGGTTTAGCCCATTATATAACTGAGATGTTCGAAGAAACAATGTACTTGTATATAGATTAATTAATAGATTGACCTGTTCCTTGATTTTTTAAGCAATGGTTTTGTGTATGAGCACACACAAAAAAATTATTTAAACATCCCTGGAATAGAACCTATAACCCAGGAATGGCTGATATGATGACAAAACAGAAGTTGCCGAGTTATCATTCATACTCATATTGCTTCTTCATATAACTGATTTTTATATTCCACTGGGTTTTGGTTTTTAAAGATTGGAAAAATAACTGCATACCAGACAAATTAATGGAAGAAAAACTGATGATGTTTTCAAAGAGAAAGAAATTTGAAATAGATTACTAAAATGTGAATAATAGCAATCTTTGGAGAAAAAACTTAATTTTTTTTTGAAAATAAATAATAGATTACCTTTATTTTAATTTTTACTCTGTAGCTGAAATTCTAGTGGTTAAGCAAGACAATGGATTTCAATTTGGGCCAGACTACCGCAATATAGGTAAATGTATTATGTATTTCTCTATGTTCCTAAGATATCTGTATTTACACCAAAATGCTAAAAACAGATAGATATAGATTCTCTCTCTCTCTCTCTCTCTCTCTCTCTCTCACACACACACACACACACATACACACATTATATTTCTGGTAGCTTTTAACAGACATTTGCTGATTAGTAGTGAATGGTGAGTTTTTATAATTTGATTACTGATAAGGAATGAAATATGGGAAGAAGAAATCTTTTTCGTAAATTGAAATATTTGAAAAGCTATTTAGTTACTGAAATGGTTTTTACTTGTCTGGAATTGGGAAGATCTTTTATATTTTTTTCTTATTTCTCATTTTCTTTATTCTATCTCTTTTCTATATTTAACTTAATGTGTATTCATCTTTTATTTTTGTACTTATAAACTTTAATAAAATTATTATAAAAAAGAATGTACCTTTTGAAGAAAAAAAATGTTTTAAAAATAATAATCTAATGGACCAAAGAGAAATGAGCTATTAGTATGAAGGTCTAAGTGATGTTAAATCTTTTGGGTTCAGCAGGTCATAAATTAGGAAAATGCCTAACTTTATTTTGTTGTCCTGTTATCCCCTTCTCCATTCAATCCAAGCATAAATAATTCTCTAGCCCTCCCAGCAAGCAACCTAGGCTACCCTGAGCATTTTGCACGCTGCTTATCTTCAGGCTGTGATCTCTTTCTATTGACAAGTCTTTCCAGACTGGGGCTGTTGTGGGTCGCATGAGGTCTTAGTTCTCAAAACAACTATGGAGAAAGTTCTTCTGTGGCCTCTGCAACCTTGGAAAATCACAAGAAAGCATGTCCTGTTCTTGGAAGATTTTCAGAGGCTCAGATGGTCCTCTTATATGACTTTCAGAGGATCCGGAGACCTCCGCATCTTCCAAAAATCACATGAGAATGGCATGTGCTTTTGACAATAGTCGTCAGGTGTCAGTGAATGCTGGCCTCTCAACCAAAATGTCATGACATGTCACTTTTGACACATGAGTCATAGATTCACCATTACTAGTATAATATAAGTAGCAATTAGCAGCTGGGGAAAAAAAGAGAGGGAGGCTACCATAATGCTATTTTTTTAAAAAAGTTTTCTCTTCATGTTGTTTTTTGTTTGCGTTGTCTTTTTAAAAAGCATTCTTTTAAAAAATTGGTAACAATATTTTCATTTCAGCCTTCACTCTAGTATAACAATTATTTATTTCTGCTGTGTTATTATATTCTATTTGTTGTTATTGTATTATATGAATAGGTGAGTTGTGTAAATAGCTTTGTAGCGCTGAAAAATGTCCGTGTTTTCACCAGCTGCATGTATCATTCCCTGTAAATTGGGGTTGGCATGTGGACAAGATATATGGTATATTTAAGAAATTAGGACAAAGGTGCTTGACAAGTCTCATTACAT